TTTTATTTGGGGAGGTGGAGAGGAGATTGGTTTTGACCATCACTGCTGTCAACAGAAATTAAAGTCCCATTTTAATATTCTCTTTTGTCAATGACTGCATACTAAGTATTTTCAAAAGCATTAAGATACTTCCCTTACTAAACTGGAATTAACTCTTGAAAAAAACAATTGTACTCATTCTCTAACTGTTCTCAAAGACGAGTGTCAGGCACATAGTAGATCACTTGTTCAATGAGTAAAATGACTGTGGAAAATGAAGATTCTAATATGTCATATTTAAAAGTCAAGATTCACTGACAATCTCTGTAATGAAAATTCTTTTTCATCTCAAATATCCTATGAAGCTGAAGATTCTTGACAGTAGTGGAAGAGTGCTAACCAATTCCATCAATAACTTAAAATAACAAAAATAGCCTAAAAACATCTTTCAACCTGTTCTTTTCTATCAGTTTTAGGAATTTCAGGAAACTGTCAAGTACTTTATCCAGTTTTAACATAGGAAATGATATTTAAGCCATTGCACTCTAGCAGGGTCTTACCATTGGCCTAATGAATCTTTCATATTTAGGTGGTTTTCGAGTAAAGCCATCTCCAACAAAGCAAACTTTAGTAACCATCCTCTTCCAGGCTTTCTTCTTTCTCTTTCCCGTTCGAATAACTTTTAATACTTCTGTTTCTCCCTGGGCACGAACTTTGGGCAGAGGGACTTCCCATTTTCCCTAAAACAGGCCACAGTTAAAATTTATATTGTTAGTAAAAGACAATGAGAATAAAAAGTCAAATATTTTTTAGTTGTACAAAGTAGTAGATTCACTTTTTTGTGTAACCAACAACATTTTGGCTCAATTTTTTTCTAGAGATCTGCACTGTCTCCTGAAATTAATTGGAACTAGTTAAGTTTACTACTAAATAGTTAATAGGGTAAAACTGGAAGACTGTCTCCACCTTTTGTTTTTAACATCTTTATTGGAGTATAATTGCTCTACAATGGTGCATTAGCTTCTGCTGTATAACAAAGTAAATCAGCCATACGTATACACATATCCCCATATCCCCTCCCTCTTGTGTCTCCCTCCCTACCCCACCCCTCTAGGTGGTCACAAAGCACCGAGCTGATCTCCCTGTGCTATGTAGCTGCTTCCCACCAGCCAGCCATTATACATTTGGTAGCGTATATATGTCCGTGCCACTCTCTCACCTCGTCCCAGCCCACCACTCCCCCATCCTGTGTCCTCAAGTCCACTCTCCACGTCTGCATCTTTATTCCTGTCCTGCCCCTAGGTTCTTCAGAACCAATTTTTTTTTTAGATTGCATATATATGTGTTAGCATACGGTACTTGTTTTTCTGACTTACTTCACTCTGTATGACAGTCTCTATGCCCATCCACCTCACTACAAATAACTCAATTTCATTTCTTTTTATGGCTGAGTAATATTCCATTGTATTCCACATCTTCTTTATCCATTCATCGGTTGATGGACACTTAGGTTGCTTCCATGTCCTGATTATTGTAAACTGTCTCCACCTCTTAACATATCTTTATATTTCTACCTTGAATGGATTTTTAGATTACATTTACTAGTAAGACGAAATCATCACCCCATATTTTGTACCTCCCTAGAATGCAGATTCCATGAAAAAATGGAAGCAGTGCAAGGCAGTAGAAAGAATTCTGGACCTATCACTAAGGGCATAGGTTCTAGAAGCAACTCTACCATTTCACAGATAAGCGCCTGTGAAGAGTGATTTACAACCTCCTAGATTCCAGTCTCTTCATCTGTAAAATGAAGAGGGGTTAAGTAGATAATCTCTGAAATTTCTTTTGGTGCTAAAGTTCTACCATTCTAATTTTGATACTTACATAAGCAATAAGATTTTTAAAAAATTTTAAAAATCCAATCTGGAGACTAAGTTCTTTAAATGCAGATACTACTTATTCTGCTGATACCTAGATTTCTGTCAGTCTATCCACAGGTGTTTAAAAATAGTATCTATGTCTTTTTCTCTGCTTTTAGCAGAATTTCACTTAATTTGACACCAAGTGCAACCCAGAAGTATTTATTTTTTTTAATTGCTCTATTTTTATCTAAGTCAAATCACTTAGGATGCTTTCCACTATTCTACTTTTTAACCAGTTTTGGCACTGCAGGGCAGCAAAAACAAGAAGCAGTTGTATCCTTCTCCACAACAGCACAACATTAGGAGTTGTCAAGTATAAGAACCTGTTTTAAATAATTTTTTAAAACTAAAGACACATGGCATTCTTAAAAAAATTTTAAATCCTGTTGAATGTTCTCATGGTGAGAAAGCACATTTTTTTAATTACTTAAACATTTTATATAAAATGAAACTTACAAAGACTTCAACATCTAAATAATGGGAATAGTTGGACTTCATTTTTCCATTTAACTGAAGAAACAACTAAGAACCTCAAATATGTATTTAAATAATTCTCATGAACAACGCGGCAACAAAAATAAAGACTTCAATTTTTATTGCTTACCGCTTTTTCTTTTCGTTTTTGTTTGATCATATTGGAAAGTACTTTAGCTCGAGACTGTCCCTCTCTGTCCAATAGATATGCAGGTACTGCTCCTTGTGGAGTCTTTTCATCATTCTTCTGTTTGGTGTTTCTTTTTTCATGCATCTTAATACTACCAAGAATGAAAAAGATTCAGGATTATTGGTTTTAATAATTATTACTCAAAAGACTAACTTGGTACAACAAATAAATGATCACTTACGTCTTTTTCATTTGTATTTTCTCAGCATGGCGCTGTTTATGGTAGAGCTTAGCTTTCAGACCAATCATTTTTTTTGCCTTCTTTGAACGTTCATGAGCCTCTCGACCTTCCTTCTTTCTCTTTTTCTCATGGTAATCCAAACGATATCCATAGCGCTTACGGTGTAACTCGATATATTCATTTTGTGGCTATAACGATGCAAGAAGTGTTAATTTAATTTTAAAAAAATCACTGACAGAATTATTCTCAAATACTTTTTTTTTTTTTTGCGGTACGCGGGCCTCTCACTGTTGTGGCCTCTCCCGTTACGGAGCACAGGCTCCAGATGCACAGGCCCAACGGCCATGGCTTACCGGCCCAGCCGCTGGCACGTGGGATCTTCCCAGACCAGGGCACGAACCCATGTCCCCTGCATCGGCAGGCGGACTCTCAACCACTGCGCCACCAGGGAAGCCCTAAAATACTTTCTTTTGAGTAGCATATAAAGTATAGAAGGTCCTAGGTCATCCACTGATCACTTGATTAAATAACTCTTGCACTGTTAAGCCTAATCACATGATGTAAGTTAAATAAATTTTGATCCTGAATGATATGAGGCATCAGGATTTACATCTGTAATAAACTCAGTGAAAGTTACTGTTCATTGAAGAGAACTGTCCAAAATCCACTGGACCACAAAAGGGATGATCTGATTCTAGGATCTCTCTCTTTTGAACATTGATAATCTGGTCTTTCAATATCATCATCATACTTTTTAAAAATTTAATAACATTTTACTCAGTTTTATTGAAGTATAATTTACATACATACAATGAAGTGTGCCCTTCTTAGGTACAGATATAGAGTTGTAAGTTTCGACAAGCACAGCTCTGTAACCACCACAATCAAAATTGAGAATATTTCCAACACCCCAGAAAGTTCCCCTTTGAAGTCAATCCTCTTTTTCCATCTCCAATCTGATATCTATTGTCCTAGTTTTGCCTTTCCCAGAATGAAATGTAAATGGAATCTACAGTATGTAGCCTTTTGCATTTAGCTTCTTTCACTTAGCATAAGGCTTTTGAGATTCTCCTATGTTGTTGCACGTATCCATACTTCATTTCTTTTGACAAGTAGTCATTTTATGGATATACCACCATTTGTTTATTTGTTTACCAGTTGATGGATATTTGGGCTGTTACCAGTTCTTAGTGAATAAACATTTGCATATAAGTCTTTGTGTGGACATATGCCCAACTGTTTTCAAGGTGGCTGTACTATTTTGCGTTTCATGAGCAATGTATGGGATCCCCTTTTGCTTTTTAAGTGCCTGTTTTATCTTATACACCAATATTGTTTTATTTCAACACGCGGCCTCAGTCTATTTGTACTTTAAGACTACAAAAATAAAACAACGGTGTAAAGCCAACTCCAGCACGGAGAATAATGCTATGTAACAATCAACAAGGTACTAGGTATCTTATGTGGTGTTTTCAACTGCTATCACATACACCTGGCAGCAACCATGAAAAAGGTATGTGGAATGCCACTTTGCAGAGAAACAGAGATTAGACATGTAGTAGAAAGACAAAGGGTCTGGCAGTCAGATCTGGGCTATAAGGCCGTCTCTGCAATTCATTAGGTGCTTGGCCGGTGGCAGGGCATACCTTCGGTTTCCTCTATATTCTACGGTATAGAGTTATCACTAGGCTCTGGCACTGATGGTCACACAACTTTGGGCGAAGCCAGGAATTTAACAGAGTGAAACCTGTCTGGCTCTAAAAGCCTGTGCTCGGGCAAATACCCCACTCTATGGGCCGAGACTGAAGTTGTATTCACTCCTCGGAGCGCACCCCACTCTCATTCCCTCAACTGCACTTCACTTCCGCCTACCACCCCTCACCGCTAACCCCAGCGCCCCTGGGCCCCCAGGCCCCGCCACCTCTGACGCCCTAAGTGGCGAGCTCCTGAGGCGACCTTCTCACCATGGTGACGGCCGCCGAGCCACCGGGTGCAGCCGCCGGGGCGCGAAAAAGCTCTCAATTTTCTTGTCTTAGAGACCCACGAGCCGACTCCAAGCCGCCCGCGGCAGGAAAGGGACGCTTGTAACTCGACCGACTCCAGAGAAAGCGCTACACAGCCGTTCCGAGCCTCCGTTATCCACTTCCAGCTAGAAGGACGGAAGTTGCTGGCCGGCGGCTTTTGAGTGGGGCACCGCCGGAAGTGGTGAAAAGCGGCGTCGCCGGAGGCAGAGGGAAGAATACGTAAGTTCCGCTCACGGGTAGGGCGTTCTCCGAGGTAGGGCGTCGCGACGTGAGGCCTTTGCACTGTTGGGTGCAGCCCGCACCTCGGCTCTCACTAGCCCGGCGGGGAAAAGCCGGCCTCCGGAATGCGACCAAGTGCCAGGTGGGTACGGGGCCGCGCCGTGTGACTCCTGCGTGCCTAGGCCCACGATGGCCACTGGCGACCTTACAGGATGCTACAGCCAGGCAAGCACGAGGACTGCAGGGCCTCCCGCCCCATCACCTCGGTGTCCGCCCATGTGTGGGCCTTTCTGTCTCGCCTTTGGCGAGAGCGACTGGTCTTGGTTCCTGTCACCGTGTGTAATGTGTGCACAATTGAGAAGGATGCAGGGGAATGAAAACTAACTGTAGAAGAAAGTAAATTACTGGGCCTTAACAGCTGTCAGAAAAGAAAGACAACGTCCTGTTTTTCCGTACTAATTTCTGAAATTCCTGAGGCCTTTTGGTGCCCAGGACGGTGCCGAGTGGTTTTGCATCTAGTGGTCCTCTAGTGGTAGCGAGGAAAGCTGTCGGTTTTTACATTTTAATGTATGGTCGTTGAAGTTCCCTTAATTACCCTCACGGTCTGGAACGTCATTGTTATTCGTCTCCCTAAGTCTTAGAGCTTGGATTTGAGGCAGTTTTTTTTTTTAAGGCTTCATCTTCTAATGGGACTTATTTCCTTTAAAACCCGAACTAATTTTAACTAGGGTTTGTATATTTTCAAGTACAGTAAATTATGTAATCTCTCTTCCTGGGATACACTTCCCCCTGGTATTGCCTTCCTCACCTGATTCAGGTCACTGTTTTATTGAGACCTTCCATGAGCTCCTTTTTTATAGTTACTACTGCCCCAGTTCCCCTTTCCTGCTTAATTCTTCTCTGTAGCACCTGTCACCATAGGAGATGCTATGTATTTTATTTATTGTTTGTATCCACTGATTAGGATAGGGACAGGATGAGGGAAGGGATTGTTGGATTGTTTTTTCTTCACTACTTTTAACCCTATTACTTAGAAGGCAGTGGTAGACACACAATAAATATATTCTTGTTGATAATTGAATTTACTTCTCATGTGGATCCTGTGATGTGATAGATGAAAAGACAGGCTCAGATTTGAAGTGACTTGTCAGAGATCACAGAAGACTTGGGGCTCCAGCAAGTCCTCTTGACTGTAAAGCCTAGTCTGGCGTTTTCCACCACAAGTAAAGGGCCCACTTGACATTTCTGGTGTAATTAAGAGTTTATGGAGAGTTTTAAAAAGACTTTATTGATGTGTTATAATTATGACAGGCAGACAAATGCATATTGTAGATGAACGTTCCTAGTGGATTCTTTAAAACCTGAATATACCTGTATAAGCAGCACCCAAATCAAGAAATTACCTGCACCTGAGAAGCCCTCCTCCTGCCTTTTTCTAGTAACTGTCATTCCCAAGGGTACACACTATCCTGACTTCTAACAGAATGGATTCGTTTTGCCTGTTTTGAACTTGACGTAATTGGAATCATATAGTATGAACTTTTTTGTGTTGGTTTCTTTTGCTTAACATTGTGAGATTTACCCTGTTTCCTGTCAGTTTATAGAAATTTTTAACAGGTTTGTTTAAATTGTGAACTAATGTTTTTTCATTTACAACTCTCAAAGCCATAATGCTCTTTTCTCTTCTGAATCAGAAATAGAAAATAAATGTTTTAGAGGTTAAGCAATAGTCACATTTTGATTTGTGTGAAATAGACGAGGCAAAGTTATTGCTATGTGGGTTATCATTTGTTCTTTCAGCTGTGATGGTGGGATAAAAATGGCCTAAACTGATCAATGTCAGCGAAAAGGGCTCTTAAAAAATTTCTTCCTGTGTAATTGGCAGTAGCCAAGTTGGGTATCGTCACTACTTTGGTACATCTACAAGTATATACTAGATACCCAGTCTTTGCATTTTGGCAGTCAGAAGCATAAAAATGTATTCCTTCGATCTGTGTGAAACTTTGACAGTATTTATTGGTATAGTTTAGAAGAATAAGCCAGGAGATGTGAGAGCTGCTTTATAAATTGCATGGTGTTAAAAAATGAAGCTTATTTGTGTTAAAGAGGAAGAACAGGTACAGTAGTAAGAGCCATGCAGAAAGTATTATGAATGAAATGTTTGTTATTGTGATATGCAGGATTGTTAAACCTAATATTTTTCTTGAGGATAGGGATCATGTGTTACTCATTTTCATGTTTCCAATAATCAACTCCTTGTGTTGCTCCAATGAATGTTAGATGAACAGGGAATTGGAAGGGGCTTTTTCAGTCCAGGTGACTTAAATTTAAGAGTATCTTTACTGAGCATTTTTTTTTAGCGAGTAAAAGTTGATTTGCCAAGCTTTTTTCTTGAATGAAGTTAAAGGCTAGAACTAATTTTTAAAATTTAGATAAGTAGCTTGTTTTAGAACTTGTGACATAAATTCTGTAGTGAAAATGAATGTTTAGATAGATAGCTTGAGATGATCTATTCAATATAAAGAGAAAAAGAGCAAAGATGACATTAGGGATTGACATTAATCAATAATGAACATATTGGCCTAATTCATATTTGATACTTTTTTAAGAAACAGTGAATATGACACAAATCTAAATTGAAGTTTCTAATTTAGGAAAAATTACTAAGTACAGTAACAAATACCATATGAAAACACTATTTTAACTTGATGCTTTAGAATCTCTTTTCCTACATTACTTTATCATCAGCAACATCATCTTCATTTGTGCTTTTATGCTAATGTATGTTGTGATTATACTTTAGTGTCCCGTGATTCCTGTTTTTGTGTATTAAGCCTTACAGGCGTGATAGTCTACCGATTTTTTTTTTAAAAAAATAGTCCATGGATTCTTTTGTTTATTGGTTGTGAACTTGTTGATAATGTAGAATGGGTATTTACCTGTTTTTTCTCATTACTTGCCGTTTTTATACCATCAGGTGTCACGGTTTTTAGTGAGTACTTATGTTACCAAACCAGGCTTGAGTCCACTTGCCTGAGCGCAATAAAGCCAGTCTACTGACACCGGGTTGTGGTGAAGGAAACTGCAGCACTTATTGCAGGGCACTAAGCAAGGAGTCTAGGTAGCTAGTGCTTAAAAGACCCAAACTCCCCAGAGGCTTTCAGGGAAAGGTTTTAAAGATAGGGAGAGGGAGGGGGATTGTGGGGTGTGTGATCATCTCATGGACACTCTTCTGACTGGTTGGTGGTGAGATAGTCGGGAGCCAACATCATCAACCTTTTGGTTCCAACAGTTCTGGGGTCTACATGCTTGTGGGCAGCATATAGTTAACTTCTTCCACCTGGTGGGGGTTTCAGTATCTGCAAAATAACTCGAAGGACATGGCTCAGAATATTATCTGTAGCCCTTCAGGAGGAACTGAAGGTCCTTGACTTTGTTTAATGGCTAAACTATTATTATTTTGTCTTGTTTGACTGTTTTATTTCTGCACTTTCTCACTTCTCTTATTAAATTTATTCTTTGGAACTTGGGGAAGCCCTAGGAGGCTAAAGTTTTTATACAGACAAGGGGCAGACAGAGGACTTGGGAGAGGAGTCTGTTCTGGGAAGGGCCCATAGGGCCCTGCTTTGTTACACTTATGTGTTGTCCAAGGCCTAAGGAGGTCTGGGCCTTGTAGAATAACTCACTTGATAGTTCCAGTAGGAAACCAGTTTTGTTGAAAATCATTGAGCCATGGGGAAGAAGAAAATCAGTGGCGGGCCCTAAATGACTTTATAGGTCAAAAAAATGTTTGAGGAATTGTGCTAGGCTGCTGGTAGAAAATCCCACCTTTTGGGCAGCTCCCAGTAGTGGAGATAACGTGGAAATACCATATTTGTCATGAGTAAATATAAGTTCCAAGTGTTATGAAAACACAGACAAGGTAGTATTAAAACTTTGTAGGAGATTAAGAAAGGCTTCCAAGTTGGGGCTTGAATACTGAATAGAAATTTGCCAGGTGTGTGACTTTGGGAATTTGAGGACTGCTTTCAGACAGTGGCACCATTACATGCAAAGGTGTTAGAGCGCAGTGTTTTAGAGGAATTTTGGCTAGAGCTCCTGGAATAGAGTAGGGAGTAGGCGAGTACAAGGCTGTGAAGGTAGTTAGGGACAGAATTTGTTGTATTAAGAACCTTTACAGGTTTTTAAGTAGGGAATTGACAAGATGAGGTTGTTTACTTCAAAGGTATGTGTCAAGAATGGATTCAAGAAGTGTTTCCCACTTAAGTGATCTGAGTACTACTTTTTTAAGACTGACAACTGAATTACCTGTGCTATTAATTACTTAATATTTTTCCTTAAATTCACACTTTTATGTAGATAATTTCATCATAAGCAACACTACAAGATCACAGATTTTGTTGGCTATTGTTTCTAACATTTGTTCAGTTTTTTTGTTTTTTTACTTATAATGTAAAATAATCATGGGCAGTCACTTCAAGAAACACAGTGCTGGAATAAGTTTAAAAAATTTTTGGTCTATAGGAACCCTTCACACTTAAAAATGAGTCCGAATGAACAGTTTTGTTTGTATGGGTTGTAATTTATATTCAAATACCAGAAATGAAAACAAATCTTTAAAATGTTTTAATAATTCATTAAAAATAATAAACCATTAAATATTAATGTAATTAATATACTTTTATGAAAAATATATTTTCAAAAACAAAAATGATTTTGTTTGAAGAGTGTTTTATATTGCTTTACAATTTTGCAAGTCTTTTTAATGCCTGGCTTAACAGAAAACAGTTTACATCTGCTTCTGTATTTATTATGTTACTGTATATATATTTGTAAAATGTTTGGTTGAAGTGTCTGAAGAAAATCTAGCAGCATACATATATGTGGTGGGGAAAAGGAGGAGTATTTTAATAGTCTTTTCAGAAAATTGTGGACCGTCTTAGATGTTATACCAGGTTTTGACAAGTGATGGTTTCTTAAAGGTTAGTTGCAATGTGGGATCAAACCATATTAGTGAGCTTTTTGTATTCTGTTATGGTAGAATCCATTGTTCTGTTTTAGAATGGATCTAACATGCATGATTTTGCAAACATTTTGAACTTTGGCATTGGAAATGAAGAAGGGGGAATAGATTCAAGATATATTTAGGAAATAAAAGGACTTGGTAACTTCCTAAATAAGGGTAGTGAATGTTTCTGTCTTAAGATACAGAAAGGAGCAGATTTAGGAAGAATAATGAGTTTTGACATGCCTTCTTACATAACATGGTGCACAGTGGTTTAACCTTTTCTGTTGTTGCCCACCTTCCTCAGTCTCATATACTTCCATGCATTTCTCATAGCTTTGACAGTGTACTTGATGCATCGTGAATATTTAGTAAACGTTTTTGAACTAAAGATGCTTAGTTTCCGTGATCATAGAAGAAGAGGATTTACTTCTGTATATTTTTTACATGGTAGAAATACATATTTACATATTTATGGTAAATCAATATACAAATATGGTAAATCAATATATTAGGAAAATCAATATACAAATAAACCAAAAACTTATACTATCAGTGAGAAATTACCAAGTTAACATGTAGATGCTTACCTTTCTATACTTAATTCTGTTTTTTATTTTTACATAAAAGTGCTTTTTGGTTGGTATGATATATTTTTGTAATTTCAGTATATCTTTTCCTACAGTATCTTCATATCTTTCTTTTTTTTTTTTTTTAAAGTTTTTTTGACGTGGGCCTTTTTTTTGGGGGGGTGGTACGCGGGCCTCTCACTGTGTGGCCTCTCCCGTTGCGGAGCACAGGCTCCGGAAACACAGGCTCAGCGGCCATGGCTCGCGGGCCTAGCCGCTCCGCGGCATGTGGGATCCTCCCAGACCGGGGCACGAACCCGTGTCCCCTGCATCGGCAGGTGGACTCTCAACCACTGCGCCACCAGGGAAGCCCTGATGTGGACCATTTTTAAAGTCTTTATTGAATTTGTTAAGATGTTGCTTCTGTTTTATGTTTTGGTTTTTTGGCCTCGAGGCATGTGGGATCTTAGCTCCCCAACCAGGGATCGAACCTGCACCCCCTGCATTGGAAGGCGAAGTCTTAACCACTGGACCGCCAGGGAGGTCCCTCTTCATATCTTTCTTGAAGAGTTAAAGGATGTTGAAAACATAAGGGACCATATTCTCATGTTTAGTTTGAGCTTTCATTTTCTGAATTGCACATTTTCTTTTTGATAGCTACAAATATTATTCCTACTTTTTAAAAGTAATACATTTTTACCTAATATATTACATTTGCCTTACTTACATATGTCTTACATGTAATACATAAATTTAGTTTTGTAATTTTGTATATTTCTTTTTTCAGAGAATAACAGCTTAGAGGTCCAAGATGTCCAATCTGAGGATATTTGCAGTGAATCATAAGAAAATATCCAGCTTGCACATTAACGTAAGTTTTTCTTGTAAAATTAAATGTACTTCAACAGCTTCAGTTACTTGACTTCCCCAAAGGTCTAGTGTATCTCATATACTAGTATATCAACAGTTTCTTAACAGGGGGTATGGGGGAACCTGTAATCAACAAGAAGTATGCCTTATCATTAGTCTATAAATTCATTTTGCTACTTTAAAATCACCTGTGCAACATTTTGAGACTATCTGTGTTCCATTTTTGAGGTCGTTAGCAGCCCAAGGAGTTGCACAGTTTTTCTTCAGTGTTTTCATTTCTGATGCTTTCAGACTGTACACCCTGTGATAGGTGATGCTGTCTTACCCTGGCCATTATGAAGTAGAAATTTAAATAGTTTGAGTCTCTTCTCTACTCTTAATATACTTGCTTAGAATAATAATGTTTTATTGCCAGGAATTTGGTAACTAATGTAGAAATAATACAGAAGGCACAGGTATGCATTCTGTGACATCATGAAAGGCAGATTGTGGCAGCCCAAAATCACTACATACACTAACTACAATTCCAAATATATTGACAGCCATTAAATGTGTATTTAGTGGTCCAGGAATAAATCGATGGTGAACATTCAACCTCTATGTGGGAATATTAGGAGAAGATACCTGGGGAGCTTTCAAAAATGCTATAGTTCCTCCAACTTCCCTTCCCCTTTAAAAGCTCTCCAGGTGATTCTAATATGTAGCCGCTGTTATAAATCTAGGTGAAAACACCTAATGGTTTCAGAGTTCATGACTCGCACCAGCTCTTAATAGGCTTAAAGGAGAACCAAGGGGTATCCAGGGTTAGCAACCTTATTTAACCTTTCTCGCTCTCTGGAAACTTTAGGGTCGTTCTCAAAAGGCAGCTATCAGAATTACCTGGAGGGCTTGTTAAAACACATTGTTGGACGCTATCCCTAGAGTTTCTGATTCTCTTCTCTGGAGTGGGTCCTGAGAATTTGTCTTTCAAATAAGATCCCTGTGATGCTAATGCTGCATGTCTAGGAGAGCCATCATCTAAGGTCAGCTCAAAAGAGCAAGCAGTACTAATTTTATCCTTATTTTTTATTGTAATGTAATTTTGTGTTGTCACTTTTTAAAAGAATTGGAGTTAATAAATTGAGACTACTATATGGAGATTCAAAGCATAATTATGATGTTAAAACTACAGTAGTGAGTTATGCTAAAATAAAATTAACGTTGTTTCTTTTTCTCCTCGCTAGAATATGTGTTCCTCAAAAATAAGGGCAAGTCTAAAAAGATTAAGGCTACATGTGCTTCTTGGAAGAAATTACAGTTCCCTACCAGGTACAAATGTTAGGTTCTTCTCATTTTACTTAAACTGCTTGCTTGCTTTCTCCCTTTTCTCTCTGTCTCTCTCTCTCTCTCATTTGCAATCTTCTCCCTTATTAGGGGTCTCCAACCATTTTGAAAACAGTGGCTCCCTTTTACTTCTTGGCTCTTTCCTTGAGATTATTAGGAGTTGGAGTATTCTGATAGATGCTAGGTGGTAGTACCAGTAGACTTATGTTCCTCATCTGCTGTCCATCCTCATGAGCTGAGCAAAGGGAAGGGTCGGCTCAGAGGTTTAGCAGTGAGTCTACTTGTAGAGTGCTCTTGCTGTAAAATGTTGATTTTCCTAGTTCATTTCTGGTTTTTATACAGAAGTATTTTCTGTTAATAGAGGTTTAACAGGATAATTTATTTTGAGGGTTTTACGAGTAGTTTGGTTTAATATTTATCTGGAATAGATTAGTTTAGGTAATATGGCTATTAAAAGCCTGAAGGCTGAGGAATTGGCTGCAGTTGCCCCTTGAACACAGATTTGAACTTCGATATAAGTTCAACCATGTAAGAGTCCACTTATATGCAGAATTTTTTCACTAAATGGGTACTGCAGTACTACATGATCCACGGTTGGTTGAATCTGCCCATGCGGAACTGAGGATACAGAGGAACGATGTGTGCACAGGGCAGGCTGTGAAGTTATACTTGGATTTTTGACTGCACAGCGGTTGGCCCTTCTAATCTTCAGGTTGTTCAAAGGTCAATTGTACTGTAATTCTGAATGTGCTTCTTGTGTTTGAAGTAAGCAAGCATGTGGGAGACTTAGTGAAACTACAGTTGACCCTTGAACAATGAGGGGGTTACAGGTGCTGACCCCTCAAACAGTTGAAAATCACATATAACTGTAGTCAGCCCACCGCATCTGCAGTTCCGTGTGCAGATTCAACCAGCTGCAAATCGTGTGCTGTAGCATGCATGTATTGAAAAAGATCCTTGGATAAGTGGGCCCACACACTTCAAACCTGTGTTGTTCAGGGGTCACCTGTAGCTTCATTCTGTAGCTGTTCTCATTACCATCTTTGTCATGTGAGAATAATGGAGTAAAAATACCAGTTGGCTGTGTGACTTGTTAAAGGCATGTGAATTTACTGTTCTGCATTATTGGTGTATATCTGGGTTTCTATATTTTGCCCGTACAAATTTATCTATAGCAGTACAGATTATCTTTCAGTCTTCAAACTGCCATCAGGTTTTCAAAATGTAATAGAAGTCATAATAATTTATTATGGAAATTTGGGAGAACTGGTTTAAATAGCAGGAAGGTATAAATTAAATTTATAAATGTAACTTCATTGTTTCTTTAGTATTAATAGAATAAATGGTAAGCATGGAGTAAGTCATTATGGACTTTTTTTTTCCAGAAATACTGTTAGTTTTTACAAGTTGGCCTTTTACAAGTATTAGATTATTATAGCTTCTATTCAGTGATACCTCCCAGGCTGTCTTTATAGGTATCGTGTCCTTGGAATTGCTGAGGGAAGGTAGGTTTCAAGCTGTACAAAAACTCATTATCAGCTGATAATGAGTATCACTCTTTGCTCTTCAAGCCTTGACAATGTAGGTTTACAGGACTGTGCTTATTTTTTTTTTTTTTTTTTGGTTCAAGATCTACTAGTGTCTGAAGATTATTGTTATGAACATTCTACTTTTGAAATTCTATTTATTATAGAATTCTATTATAAAATTGTAGCAGGTGGCAGAGATTGGGGTAAATCTATATTTTTCTAAGGATATAATCTAGAAATTGATGTTTAAAAACTTTATCTTGTTTTATTGTCATCCACAGGTTTTTTTAGAGATTGCAAGAAAATAAATTTTAGGTAAATGAGTGTTATATTTAGCTTGAATTTTACTTTAATTGGATTTACTTTAATAGTAATTTTACTATTTGCTTAAAATTCTTTTAATTTCTTTCATTTATAAATTAAAGGAAATTTTCTTTAAATTTAACAGTTGAATTTTAACACTCTTTCCATTAGGTTTAATAGGAAATGATATCAAGTCCCTTCATTCCATCATCAATCCTCCTATTGCTAAGTAAGTACTGTCATTGATATTGTCTTTTCCATAGGCTGCCAGGAAAAGTTACAGGTTTTTCACATAGGCTTAATTCAGCATTTAGTGAATGCTCTAATTTCTGTAACTTCCTGCCCTAGCTAATTAACTATAAATAGATATTGGTATGTATCTTAAAAGCTATTTTCTTGTCTCAGTTCAATGCTAAAAATTTTTAATGTAGCAACAGCACACTTTTCATAGAAGTTAATATAAGGTAGTCACAAAATTGTAGTTAGCTCTTTTGTTACTTAGCTGTTTTGTCAGAGTAATGTGATAGTGATACGTTTTCCATTTTTCTAGTTTTTACACCATTATATAAATTGTTGAAATACCAACCAGCTTTGAAATTTGTGCAGCATAGATATTTTGGTTTTACAATTTTAGTAATGTCCACCTTATAATACATGTCTTTTTTTAATTTTTCCCCTTTTAAACAGAATCCGTAATATTGGAATTATGGCTCATATTGATGCGGGGAAAACTACCACCACAGAAAGAATATTGTATTATTCTGGATACACAAGATCACTGGGAGGTTAGAATGGATTCCTCCTCTCACCCTGCCCCCCCCATTAGAAAAAAACATCAATGGAAAATATTTTGATTAAGAAGTCAACCTAGAGACCTTGAGTATGGCATGGAGGCACTGCTGTCTGAACCACAGCATAAAGTTAAGGTAGTTACAGTACTCCAAAGGGTCTTTTTAGGTTCAATTAAACAATCAGACTCACAAGACTATCTTGGGCTATAGTTGGCACTGGTCTACTCAGAAGGCTGTGAGACAGGAAACATAGCTTACCAGCAATAGATGTTTCTTTCTATAGAAGTTCTTATAGCAGTCCACATAGCTGTGTGGGAACTGTCTTCTTTGGCCATCCAAAAGCGATAGCTTAGTTGCAAGGTAACAAGATTCACAGGAGCCACCCTAGCTTAGAAGACTCATGCCCCGTAGGAACGAGCATCTCTTGTTACAGCTCCGCGGGTCATCTTCCTGGTTTCCCACAAGGGGCATGCCATACCCCACTCAGGGAAGCCTAAAGCTATGTATCTTCAGCAGGTATTTATAATTCATTATTTATTCTTCCCAGGTCAGATGTAGTTTACCAATTGGAAATTATTTTTTCCATAAGTGTGTTGCCTAGCAATGCAGTTGGCATACTTGTTTTCTGGGCTGTAGGAGAAGAGAGCCAGAAAGTTAACCAGAGGTCAAATTCCCATGCAGGACAAGAAAGGATTTCGTTAATCCTTAACCCCCAGTAGTAGTATAATTTACCTAAGTTTTGAATTTACTTTTTTATTATAGTATGTCAAAAAGTGTGGTTCTTTTTTTTTAAATTCTATTTATTATTTATTTGGTTGTGCTGGGTCTTAGTTGCGGTAGGCGAGCTCCTTAGTTGAAGCTTGAGGGCTCCTTAGTTGCGGCTCACTGGCTCCTTTAGTTGTGGCATGCAAACCCTTAGTTGCAGCATGCATGTGGGATCTAGTTCCCTGACCAGGGTTTGAACCCGGGCCCCCTGCATTGGGAGCATGGAGTCTTAACCACTGCACCACCAGGGAAGTCCCAAAACTGTGGTTCTTGACCAGGCATGCACATTTAATGCCCATGTATCTTTTAAAGATTTTGTTTTGTTTTGTTTTGTTTTTAAATAACAGTGCCCTAGCTCCACTCTGAAAATTAAGATTGAACATGTCTGGGTATGGCCTGGATGTCTGTATTTTTGCATCATGTATTTTGAAACTTGTATTTGACTCACACACACTTATGATTGTTATATTTCTCTGATGAATCAACCCTTTTATCATTATGAAGTGCCTTTCTTTATCTCTGGTGAAACAGTTTGTTTTGAAATGTGACATGGAGGTCATCAGGTCCAGAATACCAGAAGTAGAAATTAATGTCTTTTTCAAAAGCTCCACAGTGATTTTGAAATGTGCTCTATTGAGACCTATTTCTCTAGACCCTTGGAATTGGTTGAGACTTAATGTTTATAGAGGAGAAAACCACTCACGATTAGAATCTTCATGATGATAGGTTCCTAAATGTATAAGCACATGAATTTCTCATAGAATTTATTCCTGTGTAAATGGGGAAATAACAGACAGCAAAACACTGAACATTGTTAGGCTTCCTCTTTTGTATCACGAATCTGATTAGAATCCTTCCCTCATTCCCTGAGTGTATCCTTTTTATTTTTTTATTTTATTTTTATTTTTTTTTATTTTTATTTTTTGAGGTACGCGGGCCTCTCACTGTTGTGGCCTCTCCTGCTGCAGAGCACAGGCTCCGGACGCGCAGGCCCAGCGGCCATGGCTCACGGGCCCAGCCCCTCCGCGGCATGTGGGATCTTCCCGGACCGGGGCACGAACCCGCGTCCCCTGCATCGGCAGGTGGACTCTCAACCACTGCGCCACCAGGGAAGCCCCCCGAGTGTATCCTTGAGTCGAGGGTCCAGATGAGGTGGACGCAGGCAATTTTCAAGTAAACAGTTATTTTTTAATTGTGGTAAAAAAACACATAACATAAAATTTACCATCTTAACCATTTCTAAGTGTACAGTTCAATAGTGTTGAGTATATTCACATTGTTTGCAACTATTCTACAGAACTTTTTCCATCTTGCAAAACCCAAACTATATGCCCATCGAACAACAACTCCCCATTGCCCCCTCTGCCCAGCCCCTGGAAACCACCCTTATACTTTCTTTTTCTATGAATCTGACTACTTTAGGAATATATATATATATATATATATATATATATATATATATGATACATATATATACACACATGTACACACACACACACACACACACACACACACACACATAAACTAGATATGTTTTGAAGTTCTTTTCTGGTTCAGGCCAGAGGCCTAGAAACTATCCAAATTGTGGGAGAATTTGTTGATCCAAGGTTGATTTTATTAAACATATGTGTAATCATAAAGAAATAATAGGAGGACTTCTATTAGAAGTCTGTGCACCACAACGAAGAGTAGCCCCCGCTCACTGCAACTAGAGAAAGCCCACGCGCAGCTACGAAGACCCAACACAGCCAATAAATAAATAAATAATTTATATTTTAAAAAAATAATAATAGGAAATAAAGATCTTTATCTTTGTGCAAATTTTTATTTTTTGAGTGTCTTAGAAACTTACTGCCTTATTTAGAACCTCTGGTTAGTTATTTGGTCTTTGTCTTCTTAATGATGCTTGTTTTCTCGGTTAGTTATATTGTGAATAACTGGTAATACTGCTACAATTCTTTAACACTGATATTTGGAGTTGCTAACAGATACATTTTTCTTGCTGTTTTCCCCTCTGTTGGTGCATTTGTGTGTGTATGTATATTTATACACACGTATACACACACAAAAATGATATGGAGTAACTAGCATTTTAGAGGTTTAATGCTGACATAAGCAGTGGTAGTATAAGGCCATGATAACTTGAATTTTGATTGGTAAAGATCAGCTCTTTGTCATTTCTTTTACTGAATAAGAGTAAGAGTAAAATGCATAATTCAAGAATTTTACTGCAGAGTAATTTTTTTTTTTTTTGCGGTACACGGGCCTCTCACTGTGTGGCCTCTCCCGTTGCGGAGCACAGGCTCCGGAAACACAGGGTCAGCGGCCATGGCTCACGGGCCCAGCCGCTCCGCGGCATGTGGGATCTTCCCGGACCGGGGCATGAACCCGTGTCCCCTGCATCGGCAGGCGGACTCTCAACCACTGCGCCACCAGGGAAGCCCTGCAGAGTAATTTGAGTGACCTTTTTGGCAGTCAGGATAAATTTTATCCATGACTTTATACTATAGAAGACTTTATGTTTGTATAAATAAATCCTAAAAGGAAAATTTAGTAATGAGAAAGGTTTGTAAAAGATGACTTTAACTTTGGAGGAATTTTGTCTCTACCTTATTCCATGTAGCTACTATTTACTGAGCTAGGTACTTTATATATATAGTCTCATTTCATTCTTATAACAATCCAGCAAGGTTGGCTTTATTAGCCATATTTAAAAAACTAGGTTAAGTAACTTGCTCAAGATTGTAGAGAAGTGATAAAGTTGGGATTTAAATTTGGTCTGTCTGCTCTTAGGGCATTACTCTGCCTCCTGTCAAGGGATCAGGTGTGAGGAACGTCAGATAAGGACGGGATAATGAAAGTTAAACTAGAAAAAAAATGGAAGAAGTATATGGTTCAGTAAAATTAAAATATTAAAAGATTTTAATCTTAGTTATTACAGAAAGATTATTTTTATGGAAAAATTACTCATCTGCGGAAAAATCTTTTTCTAGAATGACGATTTATTTAGAGAATGATTAAGGGCTCTAAATATTAAACCAAATATTTATGAACAGTTTTTCTGAAACTATGTCAGGTAGATATCAAAGACCTATAAAATATACTTTTAAGCCTAACTATGTCATTTTTTTCCTGGTTAGATGTTGATGACGGAGACACGGTGACAGATTTCATGGCTCAAGAGCGAGAACGAGGCATAACTATTCAGTCAGCTGCTGTTACATTCGATTGGAAGGGGTATAGAATCAATCTAATTGATACACCAGGTATAGTGCTGTTTCAGCAATGCAGAGGTGCTGCATTATTTTGAGGCTTTTCTGTTTGTGTATGTGTGGGTTTTTTTTAATTGTGGTAAAAATATATATATATATCATAAAATTTACTGTCTTAACCGTTTTTAAGTGTACAGTTCAGTAGTGTTAAGTATGTTCGCATTATTGTGAAATAGATCTCCAGAACTTTTTCATTTTGTTGAACTGAAACTCTATACCCATAAAATGACTTTTCTTCTTTGTCCTCTCCCCTGAATCCTGGTAACCACCATTCTACTTTGTAGATCTATGAGATTGACTTCTTTAGATACCTCTTATAAGTAGAATCGTACTCTATTTGTCCTTTTGTGACTGCCTTATTTCACTTAGCAAAATTTTTCAGGATTCATCCATGTTGTAGCCTGTGACAGGATTTCCTTCCTTTTTAAGGTTGCATAGTATTCCATTGCCCATAAGTAACACATTTTGTATATATACAAAATTTTATACACACACACACACACACACACACACACACACACACCATTCATCCATTGATGGGTATTTGGGTTGCTTCTGCCTCTTGGCTATTGTGAATAGTGCTGTTCTGAACATGGGGGCGTAAATATCTCTTTGAGATTATCCTTTCAATTATTCTGGGTATGTACCCAAACTGGGATTGCTGGATCACGTGGTGGTGGTGGTGGTGGTGATGGTTTAAAGATTTTAGGTGTTACATTTCTCATCCTTTTCTTAGGTCATGTGGACTTTACCTTGGAAGTTGAGCGCTGCCTAAGAGTGTTAGATGGTGCAGTGGCTGTGTTTGATGCCTCTGCTGGTGTAGAGGTAAAAAATATTGTCAAAGTAAAGTGAAGATAGAACAGCATGATTTTTTAAAAAAGTAGAATGCATCAGATTGATTTAACTATAACCCTTTATTTGGTAAGCTCATATAAATCCAATTATGGTTAAAGGAATTTGGAATTGAATATTGAGATATGATCTATATATGATCTCATATAATATACTTCATAGTAAAAGGGAAAGTAAAGTTTGCTTTTCTGTAGGAAATATGAAAGTTTTGAGAACTGTGAAGAGGTTGAGATACTTACTTTAAAGCTAACAAGTTCGTCTGCCATAGTTTTATGGATTCTGGCAGAAGACACAAGATTTCTGAGTCAGGGATGAAGGACTTTATTAATCTCCAAAATAGCAATATCCAGAGTATCAGCATTTCCTTGTGTTGGTTCCTCAAGCCCTAATTCCCATAGGGTGACAAAGGGAAGTCAGGTGACAGCTGCAGTGGAACCCTGTGCTTAGAGAATGCAAGTATTTTATAATGGGCAGTAAAAGTGCCTGCTCTTTGCTCTGAAGGAATACATTATCTTCCAGGGTTGTAAGCCAACCTACCTTTTGCTCTGAAGGGAAATACAATATCTTTCTAAACTGTTCGCTATACAAACATTTTTGAAAAGATAGTCCAGAATAAAGGCAGTCAGTCAGTGCCTCTCCTGACAAAACATGCAGAAATGTGAGCGACCCATGAAGGATTTTCTCCCAAAACTTAATATATAACTCCGTGAATAAATCCTGAAAGTGGGTTTATAATAAAATTGTTGCTACTGGGGTCAGTTATGCTCTCTTTAGCTGGTACTCCATTTGTTTTATAATCTCAAGATTGGCTTTATCTTGAATATAGAACCCACATTAGTTCTTCTAATCTTAAAATTACTAAAAGCGATACCTTAATTAAGGGATCAAAATCAATATCCCCCAAAATGGGACAAATTGACACCATGGGCCTCCTGATATGATGCACTAAGAAGGATACAACATTACCTATGTTGTATTCCTGGCAAAAATATTTGGCCCAAATCATGAGAAAACAAACAAATCTAAATTGAAAGACATTCTGCAAAACAACTGGCCAAGACTTTTCAGAAATTCAAAAAAAAAATGTTTTAACATAAGGAAAATGAACAATTGGGGTTGGGGGGAAGCTGTGGAATTGTTCTAGATTAAAGGATTCTAAAGAGACAAGAAAGCTAAACGTAATATATCCTTTTTGGCTGAATCCTGGATCAAAAAGAAAAAGTTACAAAGCACATCACTGGGAAAATCAGAAATTTGAATATGTAATATATATATATTAAAGTATTGTGTCAACTTAAATTTTCCTGAATGTGGTCTTTGAAATTGATTATGTAGGAAAATGTCCTTATTCTTAGGAAATGCATGCTGAAGTATTTAGGATTAAAGTCTCATGGTGTCTACAACTTGCTCTCATGGTTCAGCTCCCATCCACCCACACATACACACATGGTGTTAGTTTGGGTACTTTGATCAGTAGATGCCAAGATGGGATTAGATGTATAGGAGATTCATCGGGGGGGAAGTACCTGCGAAGAATAAGGGAGAAAAGAGGGAAGTGGGAGAGGGCGTTCAGACCACAGGGCAGGCTGACACCTTTGAAGGAGAAGGGGAAGGATGGGGGATTAGGCAGGAAGAGTCTCAGGCCATAGTACAGTTCCAAAAGCGTTTGGCTTCGCTCATGGGGAGTCCTCAAGCTAATGTTACCTGTTAGAGGAACCCATGTCTTGTGGGAATGGGCCTCCATTAGTCCTTCCGCTGAGCTCAGTCATTAGCTGGAAACAGCCCCCAGGAAGGTGTGCCTTGAGAATACATGGTGGTAGATCTAGAAGGGTAACAGTTGGAACCATCAGTTAATCATGCTCTTTATAGTAGTTCCAAGTGGCACATTTTCCCAGCCACCAGACACATAATGTTTTATAGAGAGAGAAAAAAGGCAAGTGTAACATGTTAATATTTGGTGAATCTAGGTGAAGACTAAGTGGATACTTATTGTACTAGTTCGAGGGGAAATAATACAGTTATTGAAAGCCCCACCTGAGGACCCCTGACAGACAGTGATATTTGCTTGATATAAAGCCTGACACTGATGTCTGAGGTTGATTATACACCTATTATTTCTATTTCTTAGAGTCATTTCATTTCCTAATGGTTGCATCCTTCCTGTCATTATAACTTCTTTACATAAATTCGACACTTAATCATTCAGATTGCATTATTTACAAGATTGAAATATGCTGTAATAGGAAGTTTCTGAATTTGTGATACAGGAGGCTACTGTTTGCTAAAACAGTAGATGGACTTTTAGCTGGCAGGTGGGGTGATGGGAATTGTTGTTTTATTTTTCAATATGTTTAGTTCTTGGGAAATTTATAGTATATATCCCCCCACCCCCACATAAAAATTAGTTTGGAGTGGATCATAGTGTTAAGCTAAATCCATATACCTTCTAGAGGGAAAATAAAATATTATCTTAACAACTTTGGCATGGGTGGAGAGAGTGGTAGGTAACAATTTCTTGGAGAAGACACAAGAAGCATAAAACAAAAACAAGTTGATTAATTGGACCTCTTCAAAATTATGTGCATGAAACTTAAAAAAAAAGGCAAACCTTAGACTGTGAGAAAATTTATAATGTTAGATAAAATATTATATGAATGTTAAACTTCCAGAGTGCAATAATAGTTGATTATGTAGAGAATATTATTGTCGTAGGGAGTATGTGCTGAAATTTTCACAGTACATGTGTATGACCAAAGACTTGTATCCAGAATATATGAAGAACTGCATATCAATAATAAAAACTAACAACCCAATTAAAAAAAAAGACAAAGGACTTGAATGGGTACTTTACCAAAGAAGACATGTGAATGACCAGTGAGCACATGAAAAGATGCTCAGTCTCATTGGTCATTAGGGAAATGCAAATTAAAATTACGAAGAGACCATTTCATACCCACAAGAATGGCTACAATTAAAAAGAATGATAGCAAATCGTGGTTGAGGATGTGGAGTAACTGGAACTCTTATACATTGTTGGTGGACTGTAAAATATTATAACCATTTTGGAAGACTATTTGGCAGTTTCTTTTAAAGGTAAATATACACTTGTCCTATAACCCAGCAGTTCTACTCCTCCATCTTTATCCAAGGGAATGAAAACATTTGTTCGCCAAAGATTTGTTCAGAATGTTTATAGCAGCTAAATTCATAATATTCCCAAATTAGAAACAACACAAGTGCACATCCACATGTGGATAGAAAAACTGGTACATTTATACAAAGGAATTTAGCAGTAAAACTGAACCAGTGTGCCCAACAACATGAATGAATGTCAGAAACATTATGTTGGGTGAAAGAAGCTATGCTATTTATATGAGGTTCAATAATAGGCCGAATGAATCTATGGTGGCAGAAATCAGAACAGGTTGCTATGGGGAGAGGGACATAAAAATCTCTAATGTTCTATATGTTCTTTCTCTTTATTGGGGTAATAGTTATACAAGTATATGCATTTATTAAAATTCATTGAACTATAAACTGAAAATCTGTATTGACCCTCGAACAACATGGGTTTAAACTTCATGGGTTCACTTATATGTGGATTTTTTCCTCTAAATACAGGCTTCAGAACTATATAATCCGTGGTTAGTTGAATCCACAGTTGCGGAATAGCACATAGGGAGGGCGAACTGTAAAGTTATAAGTGGTTTTTGACTTTGCAGAGGTTGGCGCCCCTAATCCCTATATTGTTCAAGGGTCAACTGTATTTTATTGTATATCAATTTTACCTAATAAAACAAATGACAAACTGGCTTCTGTTTTAACAGTGTCAGCACATTAGGCTTTCAATGCTCTGCTTCAGGGCTATTAGACTGTACTAGGCAAACTGTTTATATTTAACATGTACAGAAAGTGGAATTAAAAGAAGCCAAATATTAAAAATTACTTGTTTAACAACAACCAGAAAGCCAAATAGAAAAGCATATGAGAATTGTAACTTAGAAATACAGGTATTGGCTTCCTTTTCCCCCCTTAAATCCTTTTCAGTTTATATGAACATTCAAACATTCACAGTAAAAATACACGATTTTTATCATACTAGCATTTTATAGTACATTCCTATTCTTTTTATATCACAACTGTCTGAATTAATTAAGGCAAAAGTCCATATTTCACAGATCAGAAAACTGATGAGTTCAGTATTGTGTGACGTTACTAAGTAAGGTGAAGCCAAACAAAAAGTAGGTCTTGTAATTCTTGGTTAAGTCCTCTTTCTGTGACTCCCAGTACTTCCCAGTTGTTAATTCCCTTTGTGTTGCAACCTAGTTCACCCAAAGTATTCTCAGTTTGAAGCATAATCTTCAGTCATGCTTGATCATTTTCTTAACTGTTTTAATCTGATAGCATAAGAGTGGGTCCAGAGGTATGTGTGCAATGGCGCTAATTCTATGCTAGAATAGGGCCTTATTCTATGTTATAATAGTCTTAGGTATGCTTATTCCATGTGTAGTAACATAGTTATTTTTGTCAAATATGGGTTTTTTTCCTTATCTTTGCTCTAGGCACAAACTCTTACAGTATGGAGGCAAGCTGATAAACACAAGATACCTCGAATCTGTTTTTTAAACAAGATGGACAAAATTGGAGCAAGGTATTTAACGTGTGTTTCTTTGGCTTATCAAAGTAAGAATATGATTTGAGCTTTTAATGCACTATAACTTAAATTTATAAACAGCTGTTCCCTATAAGGTATAAATATTCCATGGAATCCCAATTCAATCCCATTTAAAAAAAATTTCAGAGCAGTTGATTCATAGGTAAAGTAACAATGTGGGATTAATAGAGAGCTGATAGATGATGAATCATTCTGATTCTCATGTAGAGAGGCTTTATCCTGATTTCTAGGCTCCTGACAGAGTGATGTCTTGCTGAATCCATTGCTTCTGTTTAGAGCTGTATGGTCGAGTCCGTGTATTGCTGAATGTTACGGTGCTCCCTGTCATTGCTAATGGGGGAGGGAAGAGAATTGTTTCTTGTAGTTGCTTCAGAGAATGATGTTCTTCCTTGTCCCCGATTTTCTTTAGCTAATGGGTAAAATGCTCTCAATGAAAGGAAACTAGGAGAGGAGAATGTAGATGTTTTGAGACCTGCATATAGGGCAAAAGAGTTAATGCTGAGATGTAGTGGTAATACTGCAGACTTACAGAGTGGTAATCCAAAATGGATACGTTGTTCTGAGAACAGAATCCAGACAATCAAGAATGATGAAGGATTTGGAGAAAATGTGAAAGGGCAAGAATTAAGAATCAACGGATACTGGGGAAATGTGAAAGGGAGAGATCCTGATCTGTGGTATGAGAGCGGCAATAAAAAAACATAAACCGTGTCTCTCCTGATATCACACAGTATGCTTTGTATTTCTGTAACTCTCTACAGTAATTCTAAAGCTGCTGGTTTAGAGGACTTTTGTCTTGATTAGTAAAAGCACAGCAACCTTCAAAATGTGCTAGGCTTAGGTTCTGACCCTGTTCTGTTTGGAGTTCCTTGAGGTTGAGGGAAATACTGCCTATACTGACTGACAGCACCTGTGATGATGGGGAGGGAGATGACTGGATACTAGGCTGCTTCTTAAAGACATTGGGACCAGAATGATCTGCATGTGTGTATGAATCAGCCCACGTGCCAAAGATGTGTCATGTGTTCCATAGGTAGCCATCCCTAGTGTTAGCACAGAAGTGAACAGCATAGCATATGATACGAACAATGCCTAAGATAAAAGTGTAGAAAAATTAGGCTGGCTCTTGGAAGAAAGTGGGTAGTCGTGTGATAACAAATATAGTTGTTAGAAGAAAGAATCTTTGACTTGTAATCACAAATCTTGCATTTGAATCTTAACTCCAGTTTATTATGTGTGACCTTGATCAAGTCACTTAACCTCAAACTTTAGTTAAATGAAGCTCACAATAATAATACCCTAAATACCTGTGTGGCAGAATTATGGTAGATACTCAGTCACTATTATCTGAAATTAATGTTAAAAGATTAGACAAGATGTTGTCCTGTGGAAAACTGTTAAATGGTAAACGTTAGGAACAATTGAGGGTTATAATTTTAGAGTACATTCTTAAATCCTGTTTTAAGTATCTTAACATTTTAAATGATTTTACTTTCTACAGTTTTAACTATGCAGTTGAAAGCATCAGAGAGAAGTTGAAGGCAAAGCCTTTGCTTTTACAGGTTGGTTGATTAATATTTGGTTTATTAATATGAACAGATCCTTCTCAGTTTCCTCATCAACGTATTTTATTGTGGCATATTATATACATTTTTGAAGCTTTCGCAAATCCTTTTGGAAGAAGTTAGGATATAAATAAAAATAGGTATAGATTATGGCAATAATGATAAGAGACATTTGGGGGGGAGTGAGGAAAGATAAATTCTATCACCAGTGCAATTCTAATTGAGTTCTAATGATCATTTAATAAAATGTTAATCTCACTCTGACTTATAGTTACCAATTGGTGAAGGCAAAACTTTCAAAGGAGTGGTGGATGTAGTAAGTAGAGAAAAACTTCTTTGGAATCCCAATTCAGATGATGGAAAAGACTTTGAGAGAAAACCCCTCTTGGAAATGAGTGATCCTGAATTGCTGAAGGAGATAACGGAAGCAAGGAATGCCTTAATTGAACAAGTAAAATAAATACTTTGAGCTTAAAATTGCGTAAATATTTAGAAACTTTAAAAAATATTTATTGTGAAATTTCATCTAAAATTACATATGGCATATGTAAAGTATAATACAGTGCACACCAGTGTAATCACCACCCAGCTTAAGAAATAGAATATTAGCAATACTCTTGAATCTCCCTGTGCTACTCCCTGCTCTTCTCTCTCCATTCCACTAATCATCTACCCCACCATCACCACTATCTTGATTGCAGTGTTTATCTTTCATTTGCTTTACTTCATAGTTTACAGATACATGAAGTATTTAGAGTCCTCAACTTTATAGAGACAGGAAGTAGAATGGTAGTTACCAGGAGCTGTGGGGAGGGGAGAATGAGGAAGAGTTGTTTCATGGGTATAGAGTTTTAGTTTTGTGACATGAAAAAGTTCTAGAGATTAGTTTTACAACGGTGTGGAATATACTTACTACTTCCTAATTATTCACTTAGAAATGGTTAAGGTGGTACTTTTATGTTTGTTATATTTTATCAAAGTTAAAAAATTTTTTTTGAATTAGAGAATAAGATTAGTGTGGACTAGAATCACCTTCCTGTGTTCTAAAGGTGAACAGCGATGAAAACAATGCTTATTATATACTTACTATATATTCTGGAAGCATAATTGGAATTGGTTATTTAAACTTCCCAGTATCACCATAGGATAAGTACTATTATTATCTCCATGAGTAACCAAGACAAAGAGAGGTGATGTAACTTGACCAAAGTTTTTTTGAACAAGTTTGTAAGTAGTGGAGCCATTTCCAGACAGTTTGATTCCAGAAGCTATACTTAATCATCATATTTGCTGCTTTTTGGAAAGATGATTGGGTACATTTCTACTATAGTTAGCTGTTAAAAATGTGTTTTTCTCACCAAGGTTGAATGTTTTGCTCCCTTTTACTATTATAAACTTTTGAAACTCTTTTGTTAATTTTATTGTCAGTTGAATTCTCCTGTCATATAAGCACAGATGATTATGAAATGAACATGAATTAGATAATTAGATTTTTATTATTGAAATTATACCACTACCTCCTCAACTTAAATTTATTCCCTCAGTGAAGGATTATAAACAAGTTCAGTCATTTTACTTTGAATGTCTTGGAGATCTGGTGAACATTCAAAATATTAGAGGATTACCAAATGAAACTTTTTTTTATGAACTAAGACCCCCCCCCCAAATCTATTTAAAAACAGCAATTCATTGTATATATTATCATTGGCTATCAGCTGTGGACTTTTTATTTCTTTTGAGCACTGAGTAGGTAGCACACTTCATTGAGGTGCTCTGTCTGGCTCTGGCTTCCCATGAGTTTAGGAAACTCATGAGAGCGTATCTTCAATTTTCAATCTCCTTTCCTTTGAAAGAAAAACTCTTTATCTCTTTAGAAGATGTGAAGAGTTCCTTGGTCTGGATAAGTTAGATCATGTAGCTGTCTTGAAATATTTGGGTAATGAATATTTATGGTGTATAGACTTAAGTTGATAGTTGTGATGATGAATGCAAGTTACAGAACTAAAGCCTTTCTTTATAGGTTGCAGATTTGGATGATGAATTTGCTGACTTGGTTTTAGGAGAATTTAGTGAGAATTTTGATTTGCTACCGGCTGAAAAGGTAAATTTTATTATTCATTTACTTTGACCAAGTTTTACTAATTGGATGTGGTTTGATTACTCTATTGTAGGTGGGGTTTTTTTTCAACTTTGCATATCATTAGAAAATGCAGACTTAAAAATTAGGAGAACACTGTTAAAAATTAGAAGACATTGTTCATTTACTGCAGCCTTTTCCCTTCATTGTGATCATTTCACTAAGTAGTATTAGGGAAATCACAGATAGAAGTTTTTTTTTTGATCTACTGGTCTTTTGGATACTATAATGGTCATTTTTCTCAGAACATTTTTTCTGAATCTGTTTTAATTGTTAGTGGAAACTTATTCCAGGTCTTCCCTTTTTTTGGTTTTCTTTTGAAATATATTAAACCAGAGAATAGGCCAGTAAAATACTGGTAGTATTTGAATTATGACAGATTTATTCAAGGCGTTTTTTATTTTTTCTGCCAGGAACCTTCCCCCATGAAAAGTTTTTTAAGTGGTAGTGTTTTAAGTGGGCTCCAAGATGAGCCCAGCAAATTCACTTGGTTATTTTTCATGAAAAGAAGTAAAGAAAAACACAAGATCTGTAGATTAATTTTGAGCCGTTTGAAGTTAGAGGTGGAAAAAATTATTTCTTTTCTTTTGAATGAAAAGCTGTAAGTTTGAATTTTTTTCTTGTTTAGTATTTGAATGCTTAAATGTGATGTTTATTGTGCCCTATAGTCACATAACATGATTTCTGTTTTCAAAGAGCTTACAATCTAAAATTAACCCACCGTTTCTCTTATCAATAGCTTGCAAGCACATCTAAGCTTTTCTTGGTTTTTGAGGTCTTTTAAAAATTGTTTCTACTTTGATACCTCATTTTCCTTTGGATTTTATTTAATGTGGATTTAATTTATTTGAAGAAATTGTAACTCATTTATATTTCTAATTTCTAACCAGTTCCTCTAGTAGACTATCGAGGTTAAATCACAAGTATATTAATTCACTTATTCAAGAAATATGTTTATGCATCTACTTTATTTTAAGCACTTTTCCAGTTTCTTGTGATTTACAGTATCTTTATGGGACTTACTATAATGCTTATATAGATTTTACATTCTAGTGACTGGGGACACAGATAATAAAGTAATAAATATATATCTAATATACCAGGTAGTGGTTAATGTTATTTACAATGAAAAATAAAGAAGAATGAGGCCATAAAGAATGATGGAAGTGTGCTGAGGAGTGATATTTTACGTGGTTGGTTAGGGAAGGCATCTAATTCTGGGATATTTTGGTCGAGACCAGAATACTACACATAAAACATTTATATCTCTGCTTTACAGCTACAAACTGCAGTACACAGAGTAACACTGGCTCAGACAGCAGTGCCTGTGCTTTGTGGAAGTGCCCTGAAAAACAAAGGGGTCCAGCCCTTGTTAGATGCTATTACTATGTACTTGCCTTCACCTGAAGAACGCAACTATGAATTTCTGTAAGTATGCAAGTGCATAGATTAAAATCGTATAGCCTTGAAACGACAGGTAGACAGATAGGTCATGTTTCACAGAGAGTAGTTGAATCACAGTTTTTGAATAACATTGGTGAAGAATATTATTCTAAACAATATAATATAGAGCCATAGTAATTTTTACTTGAAAGGGATATTTGTCATCATCTCTTGTAACCTGCTGTGTTTACAGATGGAGCTAAATAAGAATTTATGGCTTTTTTGCTGTGTAAAAGTATAAGTGTTGACTCTGCCATCTTAGTTAAAAAAAAAAAAGTAGTATACTGGGGATGTTTGATAAATATTCTATAGATACATTTATATTTATTCTGGATTTCAAGATTTTTCATAATATTTTGTAACTGTAAGGAAAGGTCCATTGTTTTTTTCCTCTTGTCACTAACAGCTTTGTCCTTCGTAATAAATCCTCTAAAATCTCAGTGAGTTTTGTGCCAAATGGCAAACAGAGATGAACTCTGATCCTATTAACTAGGACCTGAGTCACTTTCCATATCTCTCAACTGGAGAGGCATTATGGTGATGTGAGATGACCATAGACTGTGTACTGCCTGGATTTAAATCTCAGGTCTTCCAAGTTGCTTTAACCTCTCATCTATAAGATGCAGAGAATAGGACTTATCTCATAGGATTGTTACAAGAATCAAATGAGCTAATATTTATAAAGCACATAAAACAGTGCCTAGTATATGATCAACTCTCCATATAAGGATTTGTTAAATAAAATTAAAATTTGGAGGGAACAGGAATAAGATTAGAGAAATTCAATAATAGAAGTGTCTAACCTACTTTGAATCATGAACTCCTTTGAAACTAATGAAAATATGGAGAAATATTTCCATATTTCCTCAGAAAAATGAACCTGTGTGCAAAGTTTGGCAATTTGAGAGGGATTCACACTTTCTGAAACCTAGTAATGAACTCCAATTTAAGGACATCATTCTGTAAGTGTTCGCTGTGTAAACAAGTTCAAGTTTATAGTGTAGATTTGTATGGCTATGCAGCTGAAGAAAAGTGGGAGGAGAGAGTGAAAGCAATAATTGGAAAGTACCTATTTGTTTACCCTGTATGGGGTTTTAAGAAGTGGTGTGATGTTCCTAGGTATATTTTTTGAGGAGGGAAATCTAGGCAAGAATTATTTGCTAATAGAGGTAATATTTGGAAGAGAATCCATTGTTTTTGGTTTTGAGGAATTAATGGTAAGATCTCCAATGAATAATTTAGTCCGGTGGAGGAAGAGAGGTACATAATACATTATTTAATTGGCCTTGGTAGCTAAACGAGAATATATGAGGAATCTTTTGAGGACATCAAGGTTAGGTTTATGCAGTGATTCTGATCTGATCTGTATAGATATATAGGAAGTGTATTTTAAAGTGGCTTTTCTGGAACTTCTCCTTAATTTTATAGGCAGTGGTATAAGGGTGACTTATGTGCCCTGGCATTTAAAGTTCTCCATGACAAGCAACGAGGCCCACTGGTATTTTTGCGCATTTACTCAGGCATGATAAAACGCCAATTGGCCATCCATAATATTAATGGAAACTGCACGTAAGTAGAAGCCTAGGTTATTTTCTAAAACTTCACTCATTTCTTTAAATATACTTTTACTAATATAAATCATGGTTTTACAGGGAGAGAATAAGTCGTCTGCTTTTGCCATTTGCTGACCAGCATGTGGAAATCCCTTCACTGACTGCTGGTAATATTGCTTTGACTGTTGGGCTTAAACACGTAAGTGACCAAATCTTTTCTCTAGGAAATAACAGATTAAATGTTTAATTAAAAGTAGGTATTTTGTAATAGCAGAAGCCCATAGACAATCCAAAAGCTATCAGTAGTGGAATAATGAATATTGTAGTATATTCATCAACATGGTTGAATCTCAAACATTTAATAGAAAGAAAAGTAAATTACAGAATGGATTGTATTCATATAAAGTTCAAATCCAAGTAAAATACACACACTATGGATATATACTTATGTTTTAAGTTTATGTAAAATAATGTTATTTTCATTGTTTTTTTCCTATCTTGATTATTGCAGACAATTAAATCTAACTTTATAACTGATCAGGTTAAAAAGTGAAGATATTTTGCCAATGAAGGCTCTGTAAGGGCAAGGATTTTTGTCTCTTTCGTTCTTTTGTCTCTTGTTCAAAGATGAATTTGTTTTACCAACTGAGTTTTAAATGTATTTTTTGTGTGTATGAATGTTTTATTGTTAGAACTTATTACAGCAATATTTTGGACAGAATTCTTCTACAACTTAAATTAGCTTTACCAATGCACAGTTATAATGAGCTTAATGAATTTGTGTCTCTTTTAAGTTCTGATGAAGAGGAAGTGCTACCTTAAAATTTTTCTTTGGTTTTCGTGGTCCTTGGTGGAAGCTGAGTGCTTGCCAATAGCCTATTTTGTCCCAAGGCATCTTCTTTGCTTGCAGACTGCCACTGGTGACACCATTGTCTCATCCAAGTCCAGTGCTTTAGCTGCATGTCGTCGAGCGGAAAGGGAGGGAGAAAAGAAGCATAGACAAAACGATGAAGCAGAGAGGCTTTTGTTGGCTGGGGTGGAGATTCCAGAACCTGTTTTCTTCTGTACCATAGAACCTCCATCAGTGGCTAAGCAGCCAGGTACAAATAATCTTGGTGCATCAATTAATTAGTGCTCTGATAATTTAGATAAAATAGTTACATTTTAACCTCAAAAGGTTTCTTATGTCACTGAGTTCAACTTTATGAGCATTTATTGGTAAGTATTTCTTACGATTGGTCTAGTTTTTTAATTTGTTTTGATTTTTACAAACTCTTCATTTTTTTTCTTTCAGCTTTGCCATTTTTCTCTTACCATATTTTTCCTTATTCTGTTCTTGTGGTGCTATCTATGGGATTCTAAGTAATTGACCTCAGGACTGCCCTTCCAGTGTATTAGATTAGATGGTAACCAATTCATAACCGATTCAGTTTCCCATCACCATTTATAAAAATCAACTTTTCCTTGTTTTCTGGCTTAACTTTTAGAACTCAGTGAAGATATTTATATAGTATGTTTAATGTCATTTGACCTTTTTGAGTGATAAATAGTTTGTTCTTTAGCATATTGGCTCAGAATACTTCAGTGGCTTCTCATTACTTATAGCAGAAACCCAAACTCCTTAGTATAGTATATAGTAAAGCTCATGATTCCAGCTATAACATTTCTTGTTAGATTTGCTTACATAGAGCATAAAACCCCCAAATAGCAGTTGCTTTAATGACCAAAGTTCACTTCTTTCTCTTGTAAAATATGCCTTGAATTGGTATCCCAGGGGTTCAAGGATAACTCCACACGTCATCAGGCACCCAAGCTCCAGTCTTTCCATCCCGCTTCTTAAAATTTCCTTATAGCTACATTTAAAGAAAGTTAAAATGGCAAAATTAATTTAGTAATGTATTTTATTTAACTCAGTATATCAAAATATTATCATTTCAACATAATATAAAAATTATTGAGATACTTTACTTTCTTTTTTCTTTTCCACGTGAAGTCTTTGAAACCTGGTATGAATTTTACACTTACAGCTAACATTAATTCAGACTAGTAATATTTTGTACAGATGGGTTGTGGCTACCATTTGGACAGTGCAGGTCTAAAGAGGGAGCATGTGCATATCAGTTAATTGATTGTATCAAAGTATCTCTTTACTTTAGATGGCATATTTTTTTTTTTTTTTTTAGATGGCATATTTAATGCAAATAACATACAGTTGACCCTTGAACAAGAGGAGGGTTGGGGCCCCAGCCCTCCACACAGTTGAAAATCCCAGTATAACTTACAGTCAGCCCTCCCTATACTTAGGTCCTCCGATTCTGCATCCACATATAAGCAGACCCACATCAGACCCATGTTGTGCAAGGGTCAGCTGTATTCTTACTTCCTCCTTGGTGTGATAATTCATCATAGAGTGATCACATTAGTATCTCTTTATTCATGATGTAATTTAGCTTCCTTTTGCCAGTTTCTTATTATTGTATATGTTTCTAAAGTCTTTTTTGCTTTTTTTGTCAGTTCCTTAACCTTTGCAGAACATAATCAGATGATGTTACTGTCCCATTTAAACCCTTCAGTGGCTTCCCAGTGCACATCCAAACTCTTCATCATGGCCTTCAATACCTTACATGGTGTGCTCCCTGTCACACATCTCCTGCCTCATCTGATGCTACTCTTCCTTTTGTCCACCAATATCCAGCTACACTAGCCTTCTTGTTTCTCCAGTAGAAGCCATTCCTTGCACAGCCATTTCCTCTATCTGGAATTCTTTTTCTTCAGGATTTTACTTGCGATGTCATTCTTTTTGGTTTGTGTCTTTATCTAAATCATCCTGGACAGGTCTTCCCAGGTCACTCAATCTCAAGTAACCTCCCATCACTATCTCATCACCTTGTTTTATTCTCTACAGAACATTTCTGGCTGTTTGAAATTTTCTTTTTCAAAATTTGCTTGTTCATCTATTTTCCCACTAGAATGTATAGTACCTTATCAAAAAAATGAAACATAAAGATAACAGTTATTGTTTATCCTCTAGATTTGGATCATGCATTGAAATGCCTTCAGCGTGAAGATCCCAGTTTGAAAGTGAAGCTAGATCCTGACTCTGGACAAGTATGCATATTATTATTTAATCCCCAGAATCTTTCAATAAAAACATTTGTGTGTGTGAGAGAGAGTGTTTAAGTGCATATATCCAAAACATTGATTGGTCTATGCCCCTGAAAGAGAAAGCCTTTTTTGGTTCTCATAATATAAATTTCTGATTATATTTTGACTGTCAAGCTAAATTCTCCTAATTCCTCAGTATGATTATACCTTACTTATATAAACTACTTCCCAACATTTCTACCTTCCAGAAGACAGCCTTTTGTGAAATTTTGAAATAAAGTTCAACCCCAAGACAAAACCTTAAGGCTCTTATGCTAAAACTTATAGAAGCAGCTTTCTAAAGGGAGGATGCATAGGTATACTTTTTTTTTTTTTGCGGTACGCGGGCCTCTCACCGCTGTGGCCTCTCCCGCTGCGGAGCACAGGCTCCAGACACACAGGCCCAGCGGCCATGGCTCACGGGCCCAGCCGCTCCGCGGCACGCTGGATCCTCCCGAACCGGGGCACGAACCCGCATCCCCCGCATCGGCAGGCAGACTCCCAACCACTGCGCCACCAGGGAAGCCCTAGGTATACTTTTAATGATGATAACACACCTAAAATGGGTGAGAAGTGATAGATTACAGCCTAACAATGTGGGAGGAAATAGAGACCTAAAGTAGGTACAGGACTGTGCTGTATATTATATAATACAGTAGAAGAACACATATTCATTCTGCATCTTCTTTTTAGGGGGGCAGGGTAGAGTTTATATAAAATTCTAGAAAAATTTCCTTAAAAAATTATAAATTTGCCTTTAAAAAGGATAAACTGATTTAGTTAATCTGAAAAATATGGAGTACTTTATTTTCCCAAATGCCAGCTAAATGAGGTAGCAATTTAGTTTAATTGATTCTGAAGGCTACAACAGCAATTAAAACAGAAACTTTTTATATAAAAAATGCCAATACATATTTTTTTTTAAATAGCAAATAACATTCAAGTGTACAAAGTAAAGAATTAAAGTCTCCCTTTCAGTCTCTCTATCCTTTCCTACATAGGTGATCACTGTGAAAACTTGGTGAACAGCCTTTCACACTTTTCCAAACATCCATTTTTCTGCTGTGCAATGTTATAAAACACAGTATTTATGTTTCCAAATATATATGTACAGATATATAAGAAGTCATTCTATTTGTATTATTCTACAACTGGCTTTTTTCCAAATAATTACTTCTTTAACTTTATATTAAAGTATAGCCCTCATACACCAAATAGTTTTTTGTTGTTGTTCCTTACAATTATAGTTTTATTATAGTGAGAGGAAACAAATCAGAACCAGCCAAAGGAAGAGACACCTAGGGCAGTCTGAGAGGTTCTAAATGCAAGGCTTTTCTTCATCCTCCTGGCATAGAGTATTGTCAGTCAGGGAAGCTCACCCAGGCCTTCCATGCCCAGAGTTTTTATTAGGGCATAATCACATACTGTCTATGTGGTTGACATTTAATCTCTAGTGCCTCCTGTAGGTTTGGGCTACTACCTTTACTCTCTAGGTTGTAAATGGGTACAGCTATTCCAAAGCCACATCATAAATCACATTGTTAGACTATCTGGTGGACAAAGGCCCCAGACAAGCAAAGACATTTCTATCAGGCAGCATCTTGGCCTAGAGATAACTTCCCAGTAGCTGAAGGCAGGGGCCAGATCTCTCTTTAGGGTAAAGTTAATGCCTTACTACACAGATGGTATATGAATAAAATAGGGCAAATGTGGATTCCTTGCACTATATTCTCTCATACACAAAGACCTTCTTCAGGAATAACCATTGTTGCTTTCTGAAAACAAAAACATGTTTTGATTGGTTTTGATGCAAATTTGTTCTAACAAGGACCCAAAATAACATTGGTTCAAAGAAGATAAAAGTCAGTTTCTCTGTCACGTAAAGTTCCAAGCTACTTTGGAAGTTTCAACTGCCCACAAAACTGTAAGGTGCCCAGGATGGTTGGAAATAGCCATGTGGTTGGCAGTGTTTGAGGGAGGGATTATTCCCCCCATTCACAAGATGTTGCCCTCATTCACATTTCAAGACGGTTGTCTATATCTTCATTAAGAGAAGGGCTTTATTTACCCTTAAAGACATAACCCAGAAGTTACCAACATCATCTATGCTTATATTTCTCTGGCCAGAACTTACCTTTGTGGTTGGGAAGTGTGGTTCTCGTTAGATACCACTTAGCTGATAATTCAGCTATCAAAGAATAAGAGATTGGCCTAGTGATTCACTTTTAATTGATTTATTATTTCAATCAGAAAAGTTAAAAGCAGTGTTTTGATGTAGGAGCCAAAAAAAATTACGGAAGAAATTCATTTTGTAAGTAATGAAAAATAAAATATATTGATATACCTTTACTAGTATTTTGTGATAAACTTAATTTTTTCCTTGATCTTTGTTTTCTTCCTCTTTTAACCAGACTATCCTTTGTGGCATGGGGGAGTTACATATTGAGATAATTCATGACCGAATCAAGAGGGAATATGGACTGGAAACCTATCTAGGGCCCCTCCAGGTGGCATACCGAGAGACCATCCTAAATTCAGTTCGTGCCACAGGTAAAAAATACATTTCGAATTCATAGCATTTAGAATTCGCTGGTTCTGTTGCTCTCTTTTTCTCCAGGACCTGTTTTCTGAATCTCTCAGTTTAGTTGCATAAGGCAGGGTTTATAGTCACTAGTGTCTTCCATCAGTGGGGACAGGTTTTATGTGTGTGTTTTCTTGTTTTTTAGCATTTGTTTGTTTTAGACACAGCTCTATTTCATTACAACTCATTTATTACATATATTGGCTGAGCCACTCATCAAGCAGGTGTGCAGTGGGATCAGCCATTGAAGTAGACAGCTCATCCTAGTCCTCACTACCAGAAGGAGTATAACAGTTTGAAGTTGGTGTGTCAGTTTTACTCCATAAAGTGAATGGAAATGTTGGGTGGGGAAGGTAGAATTAGATGAAGGTAGTCAAACTTCCAGTTATAAGATAAATAAGTACTAGTGATATGATATATGACATGATAAAGATGATTAATACTGCTGTACGTTATAAATGGAAGTTAAGAGAGTAAATCCTAAGAGTTCTTATCACAAAGAAAAAATTTTTTTTCTATTTCTTTAAGGTTGTGTCTAGATGAGATGATGGATGTTCACTAAACTTTCTGTGGTAATCGTTTCATGATCTGTGTAACTTAAATCATGTTGTATACCTTAAACTCCGGCAGTGCTGTATGTCAATTATATCTCAATAAAATAAGACATAAAATTTTAAAATTTAAAAAGAAAAAAACCAAAAATAGAGTGGAAAATAATTTCCACTATTTAATAAGTATGGTAATCCTGTGCTGATGGTATTCTTAAGAAAGTGTACTTTTTATATTTCTGTCCCAAAATGTAAGAATTCATGATTTTTCTACATATGATAATTTCAATTTGGTTCCCTTAAACAAAAGAACCTGACAATCATTCCTACCCGCCCCCCACCAAGGAGAAAACATGGGCAGGTTTGTGAAAAAATATAGAAAAGATATGTTTAGGATAACTAGGAACTTTTAAGCAACTCAGCGATTTGTAAAAAGGCCAGGTGGTTATTTTTCATTGAAACTTGAAAAATTAAACAAGCAGGATATAGGGGCAAATGACACGATGATTTCTCTTTCTGGACTTTATATCTGGAAAAACCAAAAATTCTGGGAAAATATAAATAACATCTTTTAAATTAATGTCTGAGATGGTTAGAATGTAATGGAAATTTCTAGAGGCCAAAAAGGAAACTGGAGCAGGAATCTTGGAAAATAAGCCAGCACCTAAGCCACTAGCTATCTTGGAGAAATCTGTGGTAATGTCTAACCTAGAACTTGAGGGCCACATCCTCATGGAAGTAATGAGGAAAATCTTGTCCATAAAAGAAGAGGACAAGGAAACTTGTCTGACTGACTGTGGGGCAAAGGGGCAAAATTTCTGAGAATTTGTAACTGTAGGCTTCTGATAGCATTTTCAGCCTAAATTCATAGAACCAGTGGGACCTGAAAAACTCCAAACAGAGAAGAATTTAGTGTAAAGTGCTTATGGATTGGTAATATACCAAGGAACCTGGAGAAAACAAATGTAGGGCCTCTTTAGATAAATGTATCCTCAATCCAGGCCTCAAAGAAAATCCCACAAAGGAATATGAACTCACAATTTAAAAAAATTTTTTTTAATAAATTTACCTATTTATTTATTTTTAGCTCTGTTGGGTCTTCGTTGCTGCGCGCGGGCTTTCTCTAGTTGCAGCGAGTGGGGGCTACTCTTTGTTGCAGTGCGCGGGCTTCTCATTGCTGTGGCTTCTCTTTGTTGCGGAGCATGGGCTCTAGGTGCATGAGCTTCAGTAGTTGTGGCACGTGGGCTCAGTAGTTGTGGCTTGAGGACTCAGTAGTTGTGGCTCGAGGGCTCAGTAGTTGTGGCACACGGGCTTAGTTGCTCCGCAGCATGTGGGATCTTCCCTGACCAGGGCTTGAACCCATGTCCCCTGCATTGGCAAGCGGATTCTTACCCCACTGCCACCTGGGAAGCCCCCGCGCAAAAAAAAAATATATATATATATATTTATTTATTTATTTTTAATCATAAAACCTTGAGCAAAGGCACAAGGAGCAAAAAAGGCAGCAGAAACAATAAACATCATAGGCAGACCAGCAAAGGCTTCTGATACTAGAGTTATCATATGCTGAGTATAAAATAAGTATTATTTTTGAAGAAATAAGAAAGGGGATAGAAAGTATTAGTAAGAAATAGGAGACTATCAAAAATAAGCAAGCAACAGAACATCATGTTATCTGAGAAAGAAAGGAAATGCTCAAAAAAATAATGGGGATGTGTCATAAGGACACAGGAACCAACCCGAAGAGGCTCCACTGGCTAAATCTGGGTTAATTTGAACTCCAAAATAATTACGAACAATAATCATAGACCACTGAGAAAAAGTTGGAACTCATGAGTCCATACTGATGATAGATCAACAAGAAGAGACTCTTCTTCCTTACACTGAAGTGCCAAATGCTGACTGTTAGATGTTGAGGAGGAGGGCTGGAATAAGAAATCGTCATCTTGTAATATGGTGAATGCTTAATATTGAGTACATTGTTGAGCAGCATATTTGCATGGTCTTCAAGTGTCTCGCTCTAGATTGCTTATTAGTTACAAGGTGAAAATTAGTAACCAGATGCTGCAGCAATCAGACCACACCCTGACTGGACAGTCAGATCACTAATGATCACGTCACTGAGGAGGAGCAGATTACATTTGTGTACATCTAGAAAATTATCAAAATGTACAGACATTAAAGAAGACCTAAGTTAAATGGAAAACCATACTATTCATAGATAAGAAGACTAAATATCATGAACATACCAGTTCTACCCAAAGAACTGTATCAGACATTAATACTTATTATAAAGCCATAGTCATTATGACACAAATCAAGCTAAGAATAGACAAATATACCAGTGGAACAAACCAGAAAGCCTAGAAACAGACTCATATCTATGTGGAAATTGGATTTACGTCAGTGATATTGCAGCTCAGTGAGAAAGGGTGGACTGATATTCAATAAAGGGGCCTGGGATAATTATTCATATGGAAAAAGATTTAGATTCCTACCTCATACTGTATACAAAAGTCAATTCCAGGTGAATTTAAAAGCCTAAATATGAAAGAAGAGTTGGAAATCTCTCTTTGAGCACAAAAGAATAAAGAGAATAAATGCTAATATATGCAAAAAAGAAAAAAAAGAAAGAAAACCCCAAAACTTTATGAAAGGGAAACCTTCGAATTTTTGGAAGACAATATAGAATTGTTTTACTAACCAGATAAGGTTGAAACTATGAACTAAAAGATTACTAAAGTTGATATTATTGAAATTAAGAATTTATTCAAATATACTATAAAGAAAGCAAAAAGACAAGCCAAAAGCTGAGAGAAGATATTTGCCTCATATAAAACTGACAGATTAGTATCCAGAATATATATAAAGAACTTCAAAAGATCATTAAAAACATGACAACCAAGTAGAAAAGTGAGCAAAAAAGATTGAGGATTGAGGATACCCCAAAGGCCTGTGAACATAAAAGATTCTCAATCTCAGTAATGATTAGGATCATGCAAGTTAAAAGGACAAGATGGCATTTTATACCAACAAAATTGGCAAGAATGCAAATCTGACAATGCCAAGTGTTGGTGAGATGTTTTATGGAAAGTTGCAATGGAAAGTTGCAATGGAAAGTTTTACAAAAACTTCTGGTGGGAGTGTAAATTATATAAACACTATGAAAACAGTTTGGCAACTTTCTTATGAAGTTGACAATGTGCAGACCTTACTACTCAGCAGTTCCACTAGTAGGTATATGCCCTAGAGAAAATCTTACACATGTACATCGAGAGACAGATACAAGAACCTTCATAATAGCATTGTAATAAAACAAAACTTTAGGTGAAAAAAATCCAAATATTTGTGGACATAGTGGATAAATTGTACTCTGTTCATATAACAGAATACTATATAACAGTGAAAAAGAATGTACTACATCACCAGGTGTCAGCCCAGATGACGCACAAATGTGAAGCAGAAAAAAGCAAGTTGCTGAATACATGCAGTATAATAACATATTCAAAACAAAGCAGAAGTAAACTATATTGTTTAGGGATACCTGCATCTGTGATACAACTCTAAAGAAAATCATATGAATGTTTAAATACAACATCATGATAGTGGTTGTTTCTTCAGAAGGCTTCTAGGTTACTGGTAATGTTCTGTTTCTTTAGTAGTATTAGGTTTCATGAATGTTCATTTTGTTTTTAGGTTATGAATGTTCATTTTGGTTTTAGGTTATGCATGTATTTTTAAGTATAAAATATTTCATAATATAAAAGTTTTATATTTCATAATATAAAAGGAATTATGAAGAGGAATTATAGAGCATAATTAGTTCTTAGTTTTGAACTTGGGCCATGAGTCACTGTGCTCCATGGTCACTCACATAAATACAGCATAGTTTTGTCTTAGTAAAATCTTGGAGATTGGTGATGTTGCCGAAAGCTCAACTTCTCTGTATACTGGTGCCAAATTAAATCTCAGAGACACAGTTTTGGGTGAAGTAGAAAAGGATAGCCTTATTACTTTGCCAGGCAAAGGGGGACACAGCAGGCTCCTGCCTCGAAAAACTGTGTCCCAACCTGGGAGGATTTGATGAGGGTTTTGTAACAGTGGTTCAAAGGTGGGGTCTCTGACAACATCAGGGTGTACACAGGGCTTTCACTCCCTTCATCTCATCTCAGGTGGTCTCCTAATCTTGAGGAGCTTCTCTGGTCCCTTTAATCTTGCCTCAGGTGGTTTCTTGGCTGCTTCCTCCCTTGAGTAGCAACTGTTCGAATCTGCCCTTTGGAACTAAGGAAAGTCATGGAGGCTGGAGTCTTGCCTTCAAGAAATGGGGGACAAAAGGGCCTCCATGCCTCGGAGCCCCACAGGGCCCCACTCGGTTTCACTGACAGCTATTGGTTGTTAGCTAATGAGGGAGTCTATTTTCATTTTTACAAATAGATAACTAGTTTGGGGGGAAGAATCATAAACATTAAATGTTGGGCTGGCCAAAAAGTTCATTCGGGGAACTTCCCTGGTGGTGCAAGTGGATAAGACTCTGTACTCCCAATGCAGGGGACCCAGGTTTGATCCCTGGTCAGGGAGCTAGATCCCACGTGCATGCCACAACTAAGAGTTTGCATGCCACAACTAAGGAACCGGTGAGCCGCAGCTAAGGAGCCTGCCTGCCACAACTAAGACCCAGTGCAACCAAATAAATATTAAAAAAAAAAAAAAAGTTCACTGGGTTTTTCCATACCAGCTTATGGAAAAACCCAAACGAACTTTTTGGCCAAACCCAATACATAAAATATTGCTGGAAGAGTGTATGAAATTTAAGTTTGTTGGTTGGCAGGGTGAAGCCTTTTAATTTTCATTAGATAACCGTTTGTACTGTTTTACTTTTAAATAAAAATTTTTTATTTAGAAGAATATCAGTCACATAAGAAATGTTTAAAAGTGTAATCTGCATAACAAAATTTGTGCGATCACCTGCCTCAACACACCCTAACACTGAAGTAATTTTTGTTTTTTTTTTAAATTTTTTGGCTGTGCTAGGTCTTCATTGCTGCATGCGGGCTTTCCCTAGTTGTGGCGAGCAGGGGCTACTCTTCGTTGTGGTGCACAGGCTTCTCATTGCAGTGGCTTCTCTTGTTGCAGAACACGGGCTCTAGGCATGCAGGCTTCAGTAGTTGCAGCACGTGGGCTCAGTAGTTGAGGCACGTGGGCCCTAGAATGCAAGGGCTTCAGTAGTTGTGGAGCATGGGCTCAGCAGTTATGGCTCACGGGCTCTAGAGCACAGGCTCAGTAGTTGTGGCACACAGGCTTAGTGCTCCACGGCATGTAGGATCTTCCCAGACTATGGATCGAACCCATGTCCCATGTTGGCAGGTGGATTCTTTTTTTTTTTTAACATCTTTATTGGAGTATAATTGCTTTACAATGGCATGTTAGTTTCTGCTTTAAAACAAAGTGAATCAGCTATACATATACATATATCCCCATATCTCCTCCCTCTTGCATCTCCCTCCCACTCTCCCAACCCTCTAGGTAGTCACAAAGCACTGAGCTAATCTCCCTGTGCTATGCGCTGCTTCCCACTAGCTGTTTTACATTTGGTAGTGCATATATGTCAGTGCTACTGTCCCCCTTCATCCCACCTTACCCTTCCCCCTCCCCGTGTCCTCAAGTCCATTCTCTATGTCTGCGTCTTTATTCCTCTCCTGCCCCTAGGTTCTTCAGAACCATTTTATTTTTTTTAGATTCCATATATATGTGTTAGCATACGGTATTTGTTTTTCTCTTTCTGACTTACTTCACTCTGTATGACAGTCTCTAGGTCCATCCACCTCACTACAAATAACTCAATTGCATTTCTTTTTATGGCTGAGTAATATTCCATTGTATATATGTGGGCAGGCAGATTTTTAACCACTGCACCACCAGGGAAGTCCTAAAGCAATATTAATATGTGATTCAGAGCAGGTTTTTTTTTTTTTTTTTTTTTTGGCGGTACACGGGCCTCTCACTGTTGTGGCCTCTCCCGTTGTGGAGCACAGGCTCCAGACGCGCAGGCTCAGCGGCCATGGCTCACGGGCCCAGCCGCTCCGTGGCATGTGGGATCCTCCCGGACCGGGACACAAACCCGTGTCTCCTGCATCGGCAGGCAGACTCTCAACCACTGTGCCACCAGGGAAGCCCCAGAGCAGGTTTTTAATGTTGGTAAACACAGCAGCAGATGCTTCCTTTTTTCTTTTTAATTTATTTATTTTTTGCTGCATCTGGTCTTAGTTGCGGCACGCCGGGATATTTTGTTGTGGCATGCGGGCTCCAGAGTGTGTGGGCTCTGTAGTTGCAGCACATGGGCTTGGGTTTAGTTGCCCCAACACATGTGGGATCTTAGTTCCCTGACCAAGGATCGAACACGCATCCCCTGCATTGGAAGGTGGATTCTTAACCACTGGACAACCAGGAAAGTCCCAGCAGATGCTTTCTTGGTAGAACTGTTTACTCTGACATTTTTACACTGTATTTAGTGTCATTGTTGATATTTTCTTCCGCTTTACCTTCCATGAGACCTTGAACTTGCTGACTGTAATTTTGCCAGTTGTGGTACCTTGACATCTTTCTGGAACAAATCTCTGAGGTACTATATTCGATTTGTTTACAGATACCTTAGATAGAACTTTAGGAGACAGACGGCATCTTGTGACTGTAGAACTGGAAGCAAAATCACTGGAAACATCATCTCTTCTGCCAGTCATCGAGTATGCAGCAAGTGTTGCCCAAGACCTTTCTCAGGCCTCACGAGAGGCCATTGAAAATGGCCTTCACAGTGCGTGCCTCCAAGGTAAGGTACTCCAATCAGAGTACGCATTAGTATCACACTCAACGATTTAATCCCTCCTGATATTAGAAATTGTTTCATTCTTCTCTTCTAACTTTGATGGTGTTTTCTCCCTATCTCTTCCCATCACGCATATGTCATACCTTTATAGTTGTCCCACAGCCTTGGATATTGGGTTTTTTTTTTTTTCAGTCTTTTGTTCATTTTGCTTTTCAGTTTTGGAGGTTTCTACTGATATATTTTCTAACTCAGACTGTTGCCTCAGCTGTGTCCCATCTAAGACCATCAGTGGGCTTCTTCCTTTCTGTTACAGTGTTTTTCATCTGAAGCATTTCTTTTTGGTTCTTTCTTAGGACTTCTGTCTCTCTGCTGTCATGCCCATCTGTTCTTGCATGCCCTTTACTTTACCTATTTAAGCCCTTAGCATATTAGTCATAGTTGTTTATATTCTTAGTCTGATCGTTCAGTGTCCCTGCCACATCTGGTTCTGATGCTTGCTCTCTGTATTCAAATTCAAATTGTGCTTTTTGCCTTTCAATATGCCTTATAAGTTTTTCTTTTTTTCTTTTATTTATTTTTTATATAGCAGGTTCTTATTAGTTATCTGTTTTATACATATTAGTCCATATATGTCAATCCCAATCTCCCAATTCATCCCATAATTTTTTCTTGATAGCCAGAAGTGATGTACTGGGTAAGGGACTGCTATAAACCGGCCTTTAGTAATGTGGTGGTGAGGTAAAGGGGAGGAGAAGCATCTGTAGTCCCAAGATTAGGTCTGTCTTCTAGTCAGCCTGTACCTTTGGACTCGGAGCTGCACAAGTGTTTCTCAGTTTTTTTCACCCCCCTTAGGTGGGACAGGATGGCTAGAGTAGACTGGAATTGGGTACTTCCCTCAAGTCAGTTAGTCTCTGATAATATCCCTGCAGGTTTTGCTCTAATTAACTAGTTTCCCGTGAGGGCAGGCCTTGTTAAGAAGAGAGTGCCTTGAAAAAAAAAAAAAAAAAAAAGAATAGAGTGCCTTGGAGTATTTCAGAATGGATTCTTTTCCCCTCCCCCTGAATCTCTGATATTTACTGTGAGAACCTGCTTGAGCTCACAAAATTATGCCCCTCTCCATCCCCAAGACTGGGCCCCCCTGGAGTTTTTAACTCTGACTTGGCCACACCAAGCCTCAAGCAGTTCATCAATTACAGATCAGGTGTGACTGCCCGCACTCACCTGTCTCTCCAGTCTTGGGGACAGTGGTTTGCCCTTTGTCCTCCCATCTCTTACCAATTCAATAAGAATTGTTGCTTTTTACTTATTATTTACAACAAAGTGATGACTTCAAAGCTCCTTTACATGCAGAACTGGAAACTATAAGTTCTCTGCCTATCTCTTTATTCATTTCATTTACCCCTCACTGTAATACTGAGTCCTAATAAAATCTTTTCCCCCTTACCTAGGACCATTGCTTGGATCCCCAGTTCAAGATGTAGCAATTACTTTACATTCATTGGCAATTCATCCCGGTACCTCCACAGCTATGATTTCTGCCTGTGTCTCAAGATGCCTACAAAAGGTATAGAAGTGTCCTAATCCTTTTTGCTTTAAGGTGACTCTCTGGACAGTAGTAAACCACTAGTCCACAGACAGCTGTGCTCGCAGTGCCTGACCTTGTGTCTTTGTATCCTGAGCCTTATAGTCAAGAGTTTTTACCATGGAGAATCTTTGATTTCTTAATCATCAGGGTTTTATTCAAAAGAGGATCTAAGAAATTACTGTTTGACACAGATAGTTATTAAATATCCTCTGATTTTGGCAAAGAGGCAAGTTTTTTTAAGTGGTGTCTCTGCTTTCCCCATCCCAGATACACAGCCATAAGAGGCAAGCTTGGTAGATTTGAGTAAAAGACATATCTGGGGTCAGCTTGGCCCGAAATGGATTATAATCTAAAGGACATTGAAGGTCTAATATTGGTTCCAGTGTTGGAGTTCATGTTTGTTCTAATAAGATTAATCAAGGATCATTGAAATCAGATAAGTCCTGTTGAATAACAGATCAAATAAGCATTTTTCCTTCTCAGAGCATAAAGCAGTCTGGTCTTCTGTGTTTACCTGGGGACATGTCCTTGAGTGCCTTGCCCCAGTAATCTACCAGAGCTGGATTAACCCCCAAGGGCCTTAGTGTGCTGAATGCTGATTCCATGCATTCTTCTCAGTATGGGAATACTATAGTTTTGTTGGTGACTGATTTTGCATTAAAACGCTTGCCTTTATTATCATTTTCTAATGTTTTGGACTGTGGTTGAGACCTGATTTTCTATAGTCTTATTTGAATCCATAATTATAAAGTTAAATACCCTAAGCCCCTGACTTAGGAAGGCTAAACTTTAATGGCTCCTTCAGATAAGTTCAAATTCATACTTCTTAAAAAGTTTTTGAAAACAAAAAGTTTTTGATTAAAAAGAAAAAACACTACACTTTCAAAAATAAAATTGTTTAAATATTGTTTGCCTAAGCATATAGTTAGAAATATTACCTGTAAAGTGGTCATGATTAAATTGTTGAGAACATTTACCTTCCAGTAATTCTTAGTGTTTCCTGACATTGGTTTTAGTTTTGAAATAATGGTAACCTGAAAGATGATACGTTTCTAAATTAACCCCAAGCCCCAGTATATGGGCCAGTCCTTCAAAATCTAATATGCCTTGGTTAGCCTTTTTATTAAGATCATAGTAGAGAACAAGAATTAACTTTATGGGGCTTACACTTAACCTTTTGTTTTAATTCATTACTTTAAATACTACTAATGGAAATACTGTGGCCCTTGTTAAACTTCATCTAGTGGGGAAGCTCCTTCTCTCTGCTATGAGAAGTTAATGACGCTTCATATATTTATTGAGCCACTGGTGGCGTGCATTCTTGACCTAAAGGAGCTTATGATTTAGAAGGGAAATAAATAGCCAAATAGCCAGAATATTAGAATGGACTGAGATCCATGAAAGCTGAGACGTGGGGAATTGGGGCAGGGTTCTTGGAAAGAAGTTTATGTTGCCGAAACTCAGCCTCTTCACCGGTGCCGAACAGAAACGCGGAGACAGGGTTTTGGGTGAAGTAGAAGAGAGTAGCTTTTATTGCTTTGCCAGGCAAAGGGGGCCACAGAGGGCTAACGCCCTCAAGACTGTGTGATCCACCCTGGAGGGGTTATGAGGAGTTTTACAGTGTTCAAGGAGCAGGGGTGTGATCAGCTCGTGGACAGTTCTGGGATTTGGTTGGCATCAAGGTGAAGTTTCAAGCATCATCAATCAGCCTTCTGGTTTCAACCAGTCTAGGGTCTACGTGCTTGTGGTCAGCAGTTTTCCTCTGGCAGGGGTCTGCTTCCTGTACAAACAACTTAGGAATGTGTGTCAGGCCTTTATATCTTTCAGGGAACTGGGAGTTCGGTGATTCTGCCATGCGGCAGCATTACAGTCTAAATTGTTCCCAGTTCCCTAGCCCAACAGCTGTTCTTTGTTTCTGCATCTTCACATTTCCCAATCATTAACTCTTGAGTCAGCATTTTATTTCAAAACACAACAGGGGCTTGTACATGGTTTCATTAATTGTTGAGCTGTGATGTTTTGGAAGATTTGGGCACAGTGGGCAGCATTCCAGACAAGGGGAGATTAAAGGCGGCAGGGCCAGGCTTTAGAGAAACCTTTAAAAACTACATCTAGAAGTTTGAGATTTGTTTTGAGAACAGTGGTGAATAATTTAAAGTTTTTGAAGAGAGCAGTATAATCATTAGAATACAGAAGGGACTGGAGTAGGGAAGAGTCTAGGACAGGGAATGGACTAGGTCTGAACCAGGATACCAGCAACAGGAGTGGAAATCTTACAGCTTGTAGAAAAAGGGAAATCAAAGATGCATGTCCTGGTGAACTGAAGAGTAGTGATGCCATCAACAGAAAGAGGAAAAAGCAGACAGGAGTGTTTGGAAAAGAAAATGATGAGTTCCGTTTGGGGCATATTGGGTTGCTATAAGATATTTAGACACTATCCCAGAGCAGACCAGTGGAGTACAAGGCTGGAGCACTCAGACCATGGCTTGGATAAAGTTTAGAATTTTTGAGGAAGCTATGTAGAAGCTGTTCTTGATGCTCTGTAACTAGGCAGTGTTGCCAAGGAAAAGGCTGTGAAAAGAAAAGAGGACTAAGGACAGACCCACAAGCACAGTACTTCCTGTTCAGTTACATAGAACTCAGTCCTTTCCTTAGTTGTAGCATTTTTTTCTCTTTAATTTTTAACCTTTTCCCACTCCATTATGTTGTTCTAAAAGACGTGTTGCGTGAAGTGGCACAAAGCTTTTGGTAAGAATTGCAAAAATACAGAGGATATATTTAGTTGTTTGCTGTTGACTGTCATTATTTTTTAGTAATGTTTTCATTCAAGGACTATTACTTTTTCTATAGTTGAGTTGTTTCGGTTGATAGTGATTTTAAAGGCTTAATCTGCTGTGAAGAACTGAGATGATGTTTTTACTCTATATGTGTGCTATGTTTTTTGAAATTTCTGTGATAAAGAGAATATACTGCTGGCCATTTTTCATGATCGTGAAAGTAGGAGGCAGGGGTGGGGGGGAGGGAGGAGGTGGTGAGGTATCGGGGACAGAAGAGCATTACTTGACAATATAGGCGAAGATACTGCCTGGTCGTAAGTGAGTGGTGGCAGGTGAGCAGAGAGATGATCAGCCATAGCCAAATAAAGGTGAGGGGTACATTCCAGAGCCCTGGCTCTTCTATCTGGTTTCCGCTGCTAAGTCTAAGTTTATTACAACTGAGGAAGTTGTAATAAAGACCAAAGTACACTGCTCATCCCACCTGACAACCAAACAAAGGCTTAGAATTTATAGGAAATTGTTATTTTTTAACTCTGGCAGGCTGGAGAAGTAAGTGAGTTAGCTTTTAAAATCAAACCCATCAGTAGTTATGGTGCTCGCAAACGCCCTCCAAAATCCGTTTAGCAATTGGCCTGATGGAATGATGCTCTAAAGACAGCGTCTGACTAGGACCCCAGTAAGTCTTTATACCTCTGCTTTCGTCCACTTCCTATTTGCCCTATGCTGTTTTAGCTTTTTATAGTTTCCGTGCTCTTTCCTTTCCATGTGCTTATTCTTCTTGGCCTTTGTTATCTGTTCAGAATTTTAGATTTCAGTCTGTTTCAAATAGAAGAGAATGTGTTTCTACTAACTTACTGTGTTTTTAGCTCTCTCCTTTATTTCCCTCCTGCTTGCCCTGACTTGTAGCATGGACTATAACTATAGGTATCAAAAACAAAAGAAGAGGTTTAAATATGAAGAAATGTCTTTGAAGGGGGAAAACCATTTTGTTTCCCTCTGTCTCTGGGCACATGTTCACAGGTACTCTACATAATGAGATTTTGCCAAGCATTCCCTTGCAACACACCATACAAGAGGTCTCGGACATGCTACTGTCATGCATGTACAAGCAAATATTGAAATTTTGGACTTCTTATAGAGTGTTAAAGCAGGCTTATGTCTCTTTGCTAGAGGCTCTAGGCTAAGATTATGAACAGTATTTAAATTTTTATGAGTCTTCCCTTCATAACAGAAATTTGCTCTGCAGTTTAAGGAAGAGGAGTTAATATTCTTTCATTTCTTTAGGCTCTGAAGAAAGCTGATAAGCAAATTTTGGAGCCCCTGATGAATCTTGAGGTTACAGTGACTAGAGATTACCTCAGTCCTGTCCTAGCAGATCTAGCACGAAGAAGAGGGAACATTCAGGAAATCCAGACTCGTCAGGACAACAAAGTTGTTATTGGATTTGTTCCCTTAGCAGAAATTATGGTAGGTACTTTGTGACTAAATGTACATACTTTACGTAAATTGCTGGAGAAATCCAGGGGATTATGGCAGCATGGGGGGGGGGGTATCCCTTTCCACTCCTCTACAGAGGTTGAGGTGTGCTGTACCAAAATGTGTCACCAGCCTAAATGACCATTTTTCCATCCCAAGCACTTATCTTACTTCTGTTGCCAGCTTTGAGGCAAGTTTCATTCTCCTCCCCACCAGCCTCTCCTGCTAGGACAGGCACCTGAGTGCCAGCAGAGCCTTTTTTACCATTTGGGACCAAGGAATACTTCTGAAGCATACCCACACTACTGGTTTTCTGTCATCCACAATACTTACCAAATTTTTCCTGATAATGGTCAAAGGTTCTGCAGGAAGAGACTTGAGGCTTAACTTTGCAGAGATAACTGACTTAAAATTATTTTAATTAGGGTTATTCAACTGTGCTTCGAACGTTAACATCAGGCTCAGCTACCTTTGCCTTAGAGCTGTCTAATTATCAAGCCATGAATCCTCAAGACCAAAGTACACTGCTCAGCCAGAGAAGTGGCTCGTCCTAAGTCCTTGGAGACAAACTCAGGAGTACCTACCTACTTCATTTTCTGTAAGAACAACTGAAAAGGTAGAACTTGAAACAGACAGTGGCACTTGGTGCTGCCCATTCTATTTTATAGAATGAGAAACGTGCTTTGATGTTGAAGGTTAATGCACCTGAATTGTATTGTGTATCTAGGAAGTTATTACTGTCGGTAGTCAAGATTCAGTCTTTTGGAATATACTGAGTGATAGATATCACGAGGTTTTTGGTTGGCTGATTTTAAGCTGCGCTCACAGGAAAGATGTCAGTCTTCTGTGTATAACATATAAATAAGATGGAGGTTCAATCAATAAAAAGATTTTATTCAAAAACATGATTTTTAAAATCAAGCTGATCGTGGTACAGATGATTGTGGGCATTTTCCCCTATTTTTCTTTTGTTTCAGTTCATTTTTACATTCTGTCCTCGTCACAATATCCAGTAAAGACAGGTTCTGCAGCTATTCCTCGTCTGTACGACAGGTAAAGTACAAACAAAAGATGTTTTAGATTGATATAACTCATCTCCATCTTAAGGAACTTTTAAGGAACTTAACAGCTCAAATCAGAATCACTAAACCATACCACTAATTATTGAAAAAAGAGATTCATAATGGAGTTCTAAGTTACAGCAAAATTTAATATATCTATAAAACAGTTTACAGTCCAAGCATATCTTCTCCTTATAGGTACTGGAAATAGTTCCCAATTCTTCCTAATTCCTCCTAATTAAATCACAGCCTCTTAGGTGACATACATTTTTGAAAAATAAACCTGTCTTACCTGAGCATTCTGCAGCGGTGAACTGTTAGTCTCCTATAGGCATCCTCTAGGCCTCTGACGTCTTTGTGACTCCAGAGTCTCTCACCAACAGCACTTGCCCGAGGCCTAAAATTTAAACCACATGTGCCCCAATGTACTTTTCTATTTTCTTAAATAAGCAAACCACATGCTTGGGGAAGTTCCTAGTGGTTTCCAACTTGGGTACAGAAGGAAAACTCAGGCACCTTAATTCAAATGTTATCACTTAAATTCCATACCATAATCTTGGATTAAGGTTGGTTGCATCCACATACTCTCCCCATAGACAAGCTTCTCCACCAATGACAAGTTTTTTCTGTTCCTGAGAACCTAGATTAAAATCATTGATGTAAGTTAGGTAGTTGCAACTTGAGGCCTATATACAGAGGCAATGCTGATTTCTATTGTTATCTTAGGGCAACATTTCTCTCCTGTTAATCAGGACCTTGGGAGATGTTCATGGCTGTGGCACAAAAAAAGGTGGCCAACTTTATTGCCATGGCTGACCCCATGGTTCACACAGTATTTGTTAGCATATGTTAACTAATGTAGTAGTTAGGCAGTCTGGTAGTAAAGATACCATTTTATTATTAAAGAGACTATCTATAGTAATTATGACTTTTTGATTCTCAGAAAATGCTTTTTAGAGATTTTTAGAGAAACAGTTATGTCAATTCCTAATAGACCTACAGTTTTGAAACTCTTTTAAACAGCAAAATACTATTCCTCAAAGGAAATTTTATATTAAAGTCTGGTGTACAAAAATGGACAAAGTAGAACTGTTTTTAATGAAGGGGGTTTGAGAGCCTGAAGCCCCACCACTCAGACATGCCCACCCCCAAGGATGCCGCCTCCTCAGAACCTGGAAGCCACTGAACAGGACGGGATCCCTGCTTAGGTGTCTTGCATTGGAGAGGCAGCTCAGAGTAGGAGATACAAGGTTAATGCAGTCAGGCATCTTTAAATGCATAGTGATAACAAGTCTTATCAGTGAAAATGGAGAGCAAAATCTAAGGGAATCTACTTTGAAGTTCTTTCATTTAGGGAAGAATGTGGTTTCTTTCATATTGTAGTTGATCTGTTTAAGTACACACAAACAAAATCAAGGGTCAAACATAAAAGGGAGGATAGTTGGTAGATGCTACCTAGGTAAGGATTCCCTGGAGGGAGGGTAGGGAAAAAAACCTAACAAATCAAGTAACGATGGTTGCTTCACTTACCCTCAAAACTAAGAGGGTCCACGGCATAGTATTTTTTCCAGTCTTGTCCATAACTGATCCAGTCTAAGTACCAAGGAGCAGAAAGGATCACAGGGAAGCCAGCTTCTGTAACTTTACTTTGTTCCCGAGTATAGTCCTCCACTTTCCACACTTGAATTACTGTGCCTGGCGTGAGCTATTAAAGTCACAAATCACAATATATATTATTAGGTCTCGCAACTACAGTAGATGAAATTAAAAGTCCAAGGCATTGTAGCGAAGAAAATAACTTTTACGATCCTTGAAAAAAGCAGCATTTTCTTTTTTCCCCTTTCTCCTTAGAATTAATAGCAAATGCTATTTGTTGTAGGGACTTAGAAGTTTCATCAACCTTAAGGTTGGATATTTAACCTTTGTCTACATATGATACCATATAGGTGCAATGAATTAAAGGTTTTCATCCCATTTCTACCACACTATTGTACTTACTTTGGAACTCTGAGGATGCCACCAACCCTTCTGGAAAGATAATACTAGTATCTGGACTTGCAAATTCTCAGTTGCCCCCAAAGGAAAATAAAGAATTCTGAGTATGTCAGAGAGAAACGCCATTTAAAATAAAAAGTGTACATTGACAATTTTACTTAAAACTCTCTTAACAGCAGTAAAGACTTATTTATCTGTTTGTTCTGCCCTTCTGAATAAAGGAACGGTCTTCAGAGTACTTCAATTTGTGATTAAAAATGAGATGGCGGGGGAGGAGGGGAGATGGGGGAGACGAGGAGGTGGCGGTGCTGAAGAATGAAGTAAATGGAAGAAATCAGATCAGTACCATTATCATTGGTCTCAGTGTTACAGCTCAAATGGAAAGGTAAACTCGTTTCCCCAGCATTACAGGGAAGCTTCATTAGGGTTCCTTCCATCCAAGGAAGTATTAAGTCTCTCATATTATCAAAACCAAATGCAGTCTTAATACTTCTCACCTTGCTTGCATCATCAAAAACTTCTTGCCAGACTATGGAGCTCTTGTTTATGGCTGAAATCATATCCAAAACCCTACCATTGAAAAAAAATTACAGTTATTTCAGATCACAAGCTTACCAATATGTGTAAAGAACGCACATTTTTATCCCAAGAACTCCCAACACTGAGAGGTGGCTCTCAGTATAGCACAGCTTTACAGCAGAACTAGCTAAAGCTGGGTGGTGACCCATGTGGTTCCTTCTTTCTAGCACGTGGCTCAGAACCTGACACAGCAGAGGGGTTCAACAGTCAACTGCAGAATGAATGAGCTAAGCATACCCCAAAGAAAGGAAGATGGGACAACTCCTAGGGAAGTGTATAAACAGCAACCTTTGTAATTTCATGGGTATCTTAGAATAAAAGAAACTAGCCTGTGACATCACCTAAATAACTTCCAACAGTGTCGACAATCAATTCACAAATATTTCCTGATGTTCAGACAATGGCAGGTGCTCTGCAGGATAAAAAAATTAGCCTGTGTTACACAAAAAGCTGAACAGGAAAAGGCTAGAATCTGGGCTTGCTCAATGCAGGAGTTGGCAAGCTATAGCCTGCAGCCTATTTTTGTATGGCTCTTGAGCTGAGAATGGTTTTTACACTTGTAAAGCATTGTTTAAAAAAATAAGAGTATGCACAAAAAAAAAAGTATGCAACCACATGTGCCCGACGAAATCTCTCATATTTACTGTCTGGCCCTTCAGAGAACAAGTTTACTGCTCCCTAGCATAGAGCAGCACTATCTGCTAGAACTTGATGCAGTGATGGAAATGTTCTATATATGCACTTTCCAGCATGGTAGCCACTAGCCTCATCTAGCTGTTGAACACCTGAAATGTGGCTAATGTGACTGAGGAACTGAATTTTTAATTTTCTTCAATTCTAATTTAAATACAAACAGCCACATGTGGCTGTGGCTACCACACGAGACAGCACAGATATAAAGTAAAAGAAATGCTCCGGCGTTGACAAAAGGGACTGAATTCCAGGGGATGGATGGTGACGAAGACTTTGCAGGGCAGCCAGGGCTCTGAGCTGAGTTCTTAGAACAGATGACTATTATCCTGTGTTTCAACAGTTACTGCAAAAGGATCAGAGTCACCATGTTATTGATTTAAAGAAAATAGTGGCTATTGCTCCCTCCTTTATGATTTTTCATCTATATTTTGTGTAACAAAGAATATAACGTCTATACTTTGGCAAGGAGTGGAGAGAAAATGAAAAATAAAGTAGTACTAAATAACAGCTTAAGCTTTTACAAAAGGCATTGATGAAATAAAAACAGAAGTAGGCTTTAAAGTAACTTACGCTTGCATATAGAAAGATTCTAGTTTCTTAAAATTTCTGCCAAAGCCTTTGTCCCTCATGAAATCCTGGATTTCTGGATTGGACGCCCTTAAACAAAAAGTGATCAAAATTTCATTAAAAGTTCAATATGCCCAATCTTTTTCTTTTTTTTTTGGCCGCATGGCACATGGAATCTTAGTTCCCCGACCAGGGATTGAACCCACACACCTTTCACTGGAAGCGCAGTCTTAACCCCTGGACTGCCAGGGAAGTCCCTGCCCAATCTTTTTAAAGCAGCATATATCCCTAACATCTTATACACATGTAAAACTATTAAATTTTGTAGAGTAAAATAAACCTAAAAATTTAATTATAAGTTATCTTAGCTTTCCAGTGCAAATAATTTTTTTCTAGAAGCCGATTTCCTAGAAAAATGGTTTTCCCTAACCTCCCGCCTCTCTCCTCCATCTGAGGCTATTTGCAAAGAGGACTTTTACTTGAAAAATCTCTCCCACTTAATCATTACCCTCTTTCACTAAAGCTATTCTTGTTCACTCTTTAGTCTTTTTTTTTAATTCCCATTTCCTTCTGCATCTTAATTCTCCTTCCTAAAAGCTTTTACTTTGTCATACCACCCATATGGACATTCTGCAGAAATCCACCATCTCACGAGCTGTGTTACCAAGTTAAAACCGTACAGAGATGTTACCCCAAATCTTCCCTTTTCATGTGGAGAACTCTACACCTACTTCAGATACAAGTTTTTAGAAATAGGTGGGTTTTAACAAATTTTCATACCAACAATCAAAATCTACTTCATCTCCTCCCAAATGAATGAATTCATCCGGAAACACGGTACTAATTTCTTTGAAAAATTTAGACAGGAAGCTGTAAGTTGTATTCCAAATAGGGTTTATAGGTCCAAAAGCCCCAGATGGATCTTTTCCATTATAACATGGAGTCAGGAGGTCTTTCTGGCCTGGAAGGAAACACAGAGAATCTTTTCTAAAGAAGTATTTCAGTCACAAAGACACGGCTTTGCACATGATTATATTATTTTGTTGAAGCCAAAAGAGATTTTATACAGAAAAAGATAAATGTGTTTACTAAGAGTTATTATAATTTCTTCCAAATAAGAACTGTTTCCTGAATACTATCCCTGTACACCTCTTCTGTTTCCCTTTCCATCAGCCTCTGAGATTTTACCCATTTCAAATATTATCTCAAATATTAATGACTCCCAAATCTAAACCTTGCCCCAATCCTTTTGTCTCGAGCTTCAAACCATATTTCAAAGTCCCTGCTGGACACAATTAGATATTCTAGCTTCACTTCAAATATAATCTAACAAAAACCAAATAGTCTTCCCCAAGCTCCTTCTGTAGCTTCTCCTGATTTTCACATTCTGGTAAGCAAGACACCATCCTCCTAATAAGTCTCTTGTCCCTCTCCTCCTGGAGTCAGTCAGTTACCCAAGTTCTATGGGTTGTATTTCCAGAATGTCTCTCAGTTCTGTATATTATTTTCCATCCCTGCTATCACCATTCTGGTCTAGGACCTTCAATCTCCTCCCCCTTCCAAATCTGTCACTTTCACATAGGATTTCCCTTTAGTGTGGCTCCCATCATGTCACTCTTCTACTCTGTAACTTTCACTGGCTTCCATGTGTCCTGATGAATCCCACATTCCTCACCCAAGCCCTCTACACTACTTTTTCAGACTCATTTCCCACTGTACTCCATGTCTATTCTAATAAACTTATTGCACAATTATAAATGCTAGGTGTGGTGCTATGTGCTTTACATTCATTCTGTAATCTTCAAAAAAAAAAATTACATGATAGCTACTGCTAATACTCCCATTTTAGAGATGGGAAAACTGAGGATGAGATGTTCTGACTTGCCCAAGGTCACTCAGTTTATAAACGCCAGAAGCAGGATTCAAATCCAGGCAATCTAGCTCCAGAGCCAGTTCTTAAGCACCCGACAGTACAACTACTCTCTGCTGCACTGTACTCCAGCTAAATTGCCTTTCCTGTTATTCCCTCTACCAGAAACATGAATATATTCTTTGATCTCTCAAAAGCATTTTAAGTGTTACTTCATTCCTGTAATGTTTAATTCACTTATGCATTCTACTTGTTATAATCATTTCTTGTTTTCCTTTATCCCTTGTGTTTATACTTTAGGCAATGCCCAGATAGTGACTTGCTCACAACAGACACATAATAGTTACTGAATTACAACTATCAATAGTTTGCACAACCTTTGTGCAAATCACAAGAACAAAATGAGCAAACACCAAGTCATGAGATGCAGGACCTCAAATGTTCATTTTCTGCAACTCATAAAACACGCTCCTTACCTTCTCCCCAAGACTGCGTATGTCCAGGGCTATCAAATTCTGGCAAGATCCGAATCCCTCGTAATCGGGCATATTCAATCACCATACGGACATCGTTTGGAGTATAAACATGAGACGAAGAATAGCTTCCCTGTAAAAGCCATATTTCTTAAAACGTATGAACTGTTTACAGCTCTGTTTGTACTTCAGTATCTGCTGGCAGATTATTCAATTATTACAAAGTATAAAATAGTCTTATGTGATGTTGGATGACTCATTTAAATTATTTGTTTACTGTATCTTAATAAGCTCTCAGCACACTTTGGGTTAATTCCAGATTTACTGATAGGACTGTCTCTCTCTACCAGCACCTCGTTTCAGCAATGTCTACCGTCAGGCTGTTTCAACCTCATGTAACTGTATGACAAAACAGAAATGTTTGAAGTGAAAATTCTGAATACACTGCCCTTGTCAGTTTTAGAATCAAAATTCACACATTATTACAAAGCATAGCTGTTGTCTTTCAAAGTAACTTTAATTACTGTCAGCTTTAAAAATTCCCCGAGATGCTCTGATAAGTGACCTGTTTTTTGTTTTTAAAGATTACCCTTGGTCCTACTATAGGTCCTTGAAAAAATCAGAACTCAATATTGGTGGTAACTAAACATAAAGGTCCATTAAAGGTGTTACCATGGCACATTTCTCAAGGTATAAACATATAAATATAAATAAATGCTCAACTTCTAAAAAGTAGTCTTGCCCTACCCCCACCCTCAACATCAAATTTGTACTGAATCAAGACTAGATCTAACTACCAGTTTACAGTAAATACAGGAGACAGAAGAACATATTGACACTGGGAATGCAACCGGCAAAACCCAGACTGTGGGAAACTATAGGACAAACTGAGCTTAGTTTCCTCAATGAAAATAATAAATTATAAGAAAAAAAAAGAGATGGGCAGGGATGGGCAGCTATATATAAAAGAGAACAGACAGGGCTTCCCTGGTGGCGCAGTGGTTGAGAGTCCGCCTGCCGATGCAGGGGACACAGGTTCGTGCCCCGGTCTGGGAGGATCCC